TGTGTTTTATCAATACACTTCAAGTACACCCTGCTCCTCCCTCCTGCCGGTTTTTTGGGGTCCACCACCACCACGCAACGTGACAGTGGGCATGTGTGGACGAATGAACATACGACTTCTCATGTCTGTATCACAAAACGGCAAAGAAACATAAAAATGTATACAGTGGACCCCCATTAATCATGTGGGATATGTTCCAGACTCATCTGCAATATGTGAACATCTCTGCTATTGAGGGACTGTATACAGATATTTAAAAAAAAAAAAAAAACCACGCAACGTTGAATGCAGGCAAAACCCTGCACAGTAGCAAGTACATTCAATAATGGGATTTTTATTACTCACTTCATCATTTTGTTTTGCTGTTTCTCACATTGTAGAGCCTTCTTCCATTTCAACCATCATAAGGACTGTATTCATCACAATAGGCTGCCTGCTACTCACCTCACGTACCTTCACCCACACATAGCCTCCACACCCACACAGTAGACACACGAATCATGCAGTCCCAGCCTCTGTTTTAGCTAAGAGTAAATCCATGTATATGCGGATGAACATATCAGTGCATTCAGCCAGAAAGCTCATCAATGAACAGAATGTTGCTATGGTAACTGTTATTAGATTTAAAAAGAGAGTGTAGGTTGCAGTAAAAGGGCTCGTGTATGGAAATAAGGTGCAAGAAGGGAAAGAGGGGTAGCATTAAGATATTTGTGTAAGTTACATGACACGGCATATGTGACTATTATAGTGGAATCCCAAAATTTTAATTGTCTTTTCTGGGGTGATAGTCAACCTCGAATTTGTTTAGGAAAATAAACAAAAAATCTGTAATGAAAATGTAATTATACCTCGTGATTGAAACGTTAGTAGTCGACTTCACTGTGTGGATTTTGCCATCTCACCCGCATTTTAATTTGCATTACAGCCGCATTGGAGTCTGCTCCGACCTAATTGATGCTTTCTTGCATGCTGAACCGAGCTAAATTAAGGTGAAATCCTATGCTATGGTCAAACCGATGGCAAAACATTGCTTTAATTCGCGTTTGGTTGGACCATAGGATCTTATTTGACATCATGCATGCTTACAGTTCAACCTCCATATTTTTGTGCATTTTCTGTGAATCCAAGACTCAAACTACAATTTTGCAATTATTATACTGCAACACTAACATTCCCCAGCCATCGACTTTCACAATACTAAACCAGGCAACATTACAAAATGTTTTTATGTGCGGTTACCATAATTTTCACATCCTTAAATGATCATTTTAACTGGTGAATGTGCGAATGTGAGGTTATGTCATCGAAAAGTAAGTCAGATTGCCGACCTTCTTTTATTGCGGTCTGACTCGCAGTCGGTCTAGTTTGAATGATAATCTATTTGCTCAGTTTTGATTTGAAGAAGCGTGATTGATTCCGCAGGTACGTTTCTGTTAAAAAGCATTTGTCAAGGAAAGAAAAGTGTCCTGTTTTGATTTACTTTGCATACTTTATCAGAGCTGCGATGACATTACATTTTCCCTTGTAACATTGGAAGCTCTTTCACCAACAAAAACATTACCATGTTTGGCTGCTTAGCATGCACTTCTACAAACAGTAAATTTGCCTTTTGATGTTACTTTAGAGAAGGACTAACAGATGTGTTTGGCAAATATGCAGCTGTCTCTGGGAGCACTGGCTGGGATTTTACACTTAAGTGTTTCCAAACGTAATGCTCAATGGAGCTTCATGCAATTCCATGAATGCAACTTGTTTCTATGCAAGCATTAGCTAAGATCTGGGTGAACATTTGGAAAATGCCTTTAACAAACCGCAATATCTAGGACCGTTCATCACACAGTCTTCAGTTCCCCATCAACAAATGGGTGTCGCTTACTGTGAGTCAACATCAGGAAATGGTGCAGAAGGGCCAGCCCAACTTACCAGTTATCCTTCCTTTTCACATTTGTAACTCTTGTAGTGGCTGAGCCTGCGAGTACCCCTGTGTGAAACTACCGGTATGCTGCGGACCGGCGCCAACATTTATTCTGTTCCATCGCTTCCCCGGTACCACAATTACTGTGTCATTATTTACAGAGGTGGGTAGCGGAGCCAAAAATTGCTTTCGAGTGAACGCCATTACTTTGAAATTATGTGACTCAAGTTAAAGGAAGATGTCGGCTCACCAGGCAGAGAGTAGTCATTTTATGTATTATTACATTGAACTTCGTGAGGTGGATTTAAGCACTTAATAATAGTTCTGCCAACTTCCATCTTTGAATCCGTAGTGCTACGCATACATTGCAAAATGCTTTTTCTTCCTGTTCTTTTTGAATGAACAAAACCCTTTCAATAGTTAGATAGCTGTTCTTTTTTTGTAGTCCATCCGTTTCGTGTGCCACTTATCGTGAGCTGAAGCCTATCTGTAAGCTCAATATAGACTTCTGTTACATTGCACTTTGGGTCACTTTGAAAATGTTGCTTCTGTGTGTCGTCATGCGGAGACTTTGGTGCAGTCCCGTGACTGTCTGCCTGGCTCTGTTCGATGGGTCAAATGAAGTCAAAACACATCCCTATTGGATTGGTGAAACAGTCACGTGAGATAAGTCTCTCTGAGGAGCCAAAATGGACGGTGCAAGGAATAATAAACACATTTCAATAAAAAAATACAAGTAGCGGGCAGAATTGTCATTCATTTGTAACAGAGTAAAAGTATTGTTTGTTTTAAACAAAAGCACTCAAGTAGAAGTAAAAAGTATGCTGAATTAAAACCCCTCTGAGAAGCACGTTTCCAAAAAGTGACTTCAGTAAATGTAATAAAGTATATGGCGATTGTTAATGCCTGCCTTTGATTATTTACAATGTGACCATAAAAAAAGGAGTCAGCGGGACATGCAGAAGAGACAGCCCATGAAATAGCGATGGCATTATTTCGAATGAGGATTTATCGTGATGTGGTGGTGCAGCCGCCCGGTTCCCAGTCATTGAGCTGTGAGCGTGAATGGTGACCAATGCAGCTTGTAGTAGTCCTGCCATTCGCCCCAAGTCTGCTGTCATTGACTCCAGATTCCTGCTTCAGTTATCAAGAGGATGTACAGTCAGAGAAAAACAATGGAAGGATTCATCGTTAAGAGAGTCTTCAAAGCGTGCTGTATTGTTAAGATTAGACTGTTTTACTTTGACTTCTATCTGAATCGAAATGGCAATTAATTAGGAAAGTGTTAAAATGTCGCTGTGGGTGGCGCGATTCACTCACCTGACATTAACGCCGGCAATGTGGGTTGAGTTCCCACTCAGTGATGGCGTGAATGTGAGCGTGAATGGTTGCCTCTTTATATTCCCTGTGATTAACTGGCGACTAGTCCAGGGTATAACCTTCTTTTCATTGTAATCAGCTGGTAGAGGCTCAATATCGTGAACCTGAACAGGAGTGGTGGTGTCAGAATATGTATGTTAGTTTGCATTGCCTGCCAAGTAAAGAAGTGTTTTCTGATGACAGTTTGGGTTCCTGGACTACTTAGTCCAGATATAATGGATAAAAAAAAAGTTTTTTAATCATTTATACAATATAAAGGACTTACAGATGTCCTAAACACTTTTTTTGCAGCCAGGTCAGTGTTTGAGTCATTTGCTTTCTTCTGTCAATCCCGAGTCTCAATGTATACACTGGGAATTTATTATGAAGAAAAAAGGAACGTATCCAAATTGTCTGAATGATCTTAATTTTTTTATTATTCAAATAAAGGTAAATGACTATTTATATTATTTTTATGTGGCTGTAAATCAGCAGTGGTTCAAATGAAGTAATCCCATAAAATATTGCAATCTTGATTTTAGAAATGAAGAAAAATAAAATCACGTGATTGGCCCCGTTTTCTGATAAGAGCGAACAACGAGAGAGGACGCGCTCAAGAGCCATATACTGTATAAGTTAGTAGCTTCTGGAAGACTTATTTGGATTATATAGAGCCAATTGAAGCTCTCTTTACCCTCCATCAACCAACTGGCCTGTAAATGTCCGACGACAGTTACACAGACTAAACTTCCCTAACAAAACTGTGGAGTAGGTGCTTTCCAACACTCCCAATAAAATAAGCTATAGCAGGAGTCTCAAAGTTCAATTCTCACACACACACACAGACGAACAGCCATCCGCGCTCACACTCACACCTAGGGACAATTTAGAGTGTTCAATCAGTCTGCCATGCATGTTTTTGGAATGTGGGAGGAAACCGGAGGACCCGGAGAAAACTCATGCAGGCAAGGCGAGAACATGCAAACTCTACACAGGAAGGCCGGAGCTGGAATCGAACCCGGTACCTCTGCACTGTGAAGTCGACATGCTAACGACTCTCGACTACCGTGTGTGTGTGTGTGTGTGTGTGTGTGTGTGTGTGCGTGTGCGTGTGCACATGCACACGCTGTATGTAAAATGACAAAAATGGAATTTGCATGTTTGGGCAGCACTTCAATAAAGCTACTTAAGAATACACCTTTTTTGACTGGAAAACAATGGTTTTGTAAGTTGCTAATAGCTATGTATTCACGTGCATTCTGTCTTATCACTGTCAGATTGTTATTCTTTTATTCCTCACTTCATCAAAAAGACGGTATTTACTTTTATACACTACAATACTACACAGAGCAACTGAATCAAAGACAATTTATATCTGCACTAAAACCCTGATTTTCTGTCTGCATGATTTGGGGAGTTAACGGATTATTCACAGGAATGTGGATGTTTAACTCATGAAGCTGATTCATTTTGTTCTTTTACATCTTGCAAAATGTAATGTTTTTAATTTTAATGTTATGGCCGTGCTCGCGTGATGTAGGCAAAAGGTGGACCCAAATGCACGAAACGGGAGAAGGAAAATGTAAAAATGCAAACCACACTTCCCAATACTCATGTCTGCCTCACATAAAACTGGGATGAAAAATGTCAAGACACATTTCAAAGCTCAGTGTCGCTATCTTTTGCATCCAAATCTCAAACCTACTCATTTTCTCTTTTCCTCCAGCAGTGAGTCTACTACTTTAAGGCCCGGCAGACATGGGGAAGCAGAACAGCAAGCTTCGTCCTGAGGTGATGCAGGACTTGCTGGAGAGCACCGACTTCACCGAGCATGAGATCCAGGAGTGGTACAAAGGCTTCTTGCGAGATTGCCCCAGTGGAAACCTATCCATGGAGGAGTTCAAAAAAATCTATGGCAACTTTTTCCCTTATGGGGATGCCTCGAAGTTTGCCGAGCATGTCTTTCGCACATTTGATGCAAATGGTGATGGGACAATAGACTTTCGGGAGTTCATTATTGCTCTTAGTGTGACGTCACGTGGCAAGCTGGAGCAGAAGCTAAAATGGGCCTTTAGTATGTATGACCTGGATGGAAACGGGTACATCAGTAAATCTGAAATGCTGGAGATTGTACAGGTAAGTCATCACTATATCGTGTACAAGGGCTAAAATACACAATTAACCATTTTCACTTTCATTTCCAACTCCCTGTCATTGTAGTCTCTTTCTAAGAGGTAGTTCACCCACATACAAAGCCCAGCATTAGTCACGGCACAGATTGTAACAACAGTAAACCTCAATGTCCATAATAAACCCTTCATGAGAATAGAACAAGCACTGCTCATGATAAAGGAGAACAGTTTTTCTCCAAGAAATCAAAGAAGCTTTTATACCTGTGAAAGGACAGATGTGCATTAAATTAGCAGATTACCAGCACTGAAAACTTTCATTGAGTATGAAGAAGGAAAAAAGCATTTATAATATGAAACTGTTTTCAGCAGGCATTCATTCAGTGCACTCGCTTTGAGAAATGGCGTTGAAGCTCTCATAAAATGGAAGGCATGTCTTCTGTCCGAAGATAAATGTCCTGGGTCTGTTCAAAACAGTCCAAGTTTCGTTCTAGAATGGCTTGGGGATCCCAAAGGGGAATGAATGGCAGAGTACTGATTCGCTAACATTCGTGGATATTTGGATGGTGTTTCATTTAAAAAAATAAATAAATAAAATCTCAATATTTTTTGGGAAAATGCAAACTTTCGGGAGCAGTGCTCCCCTCACCTTTGAACAAGAAGTTGAAGGAAAGGAGAGAGCTTGAATGGCATTTCCTGCCCTTGCGCTCCAAATGTAAACACCATCACATGCAAAAGTCTTCCCGTAAAACATGTTAAACACAGTGTAACAGCAGCTAAGTGGCCCACTCCGGCTTCACATTAAATCAAGAGACACATTGCCCCGTGCAAGTCTAACGCGTGATGTAAATCTGTGCAGTGACAAGTTAGACTGGGTTTTGCTATTTTCGCAGACACGCACCTTGGCACAGTTAAAAGTGGCCGTTTTACGCCATTCCAGGTGTGAACATCGGGAAGAAATTGATTTGGTGGACCCCAAGCAGGTCAAAGCACATAAATGGCGTTAATAATTCTGCGGCCAGCCAGACCAAACACGGGTTCAGCGTTCATAGCAGGTCAGGTCCTCAACTGACCGGCTGTCACCAAGAGCTTGTTGCGGTGCTTTGCCAGGACCTTAACGTCACTGGTCATCCATGGCTTCTGGTCACAGCACACTGATGCGTTTCTCAATCGTGACTCTGGCATCGCAGGGTTTGATGTAACTGAGCACATCAGAATCATATGACTCTTGGTCTTGCGAAGCAGTTTTGGTGGCAGGCATCCTCAGGACACTTTTTTACAGACTTTATGACCGAGAAAGCTTTATTCCAGAAGGTGGGTCTATGCTTAGATTCCTTACTTACTTGGATTACTTATCTATGGTCACATCAGATGTTTCATTCAGAGTGGTGTTGCTCTGAATCCATTTTTATTAGCCCATACATTTTCCAGAATATTTACTCCCCTCGTGGCACATGTACTTGTGGAATTTGAGGAGAATTGTTTTTAGGTCTGCATGGTTAAAATCACCAGAGACCATGTGGACTGTATCAGGGTGGACGGTTGTTTATTTCAGTACGTAGCAGGCTAAAACAGTGCTAGCTTTCGTACTGATGAAGGATCTACAGCAGTTACCATGACAACATTAAACTCACAGGAAAGGTAAGCGGGTCTGCTATTAGTATTAAAATATCAAAAGGGAACCTTAACTATTGTGTGTTTGTACAGCACCTGTTGTTAATACAAATACTCAATTACACGGTCGCCCCGTTTCTGTACTGGAGTTGTGTTGTGCGGCCTCCTAGCTCAAAAAGCGTGACTGGGTGCAGCCACATCTCTGTGATCAGTAGAATGGAGGAGGACCTGACAAAATTGGTGCTGCGGTGGGTGGCAGTGCAGTCGTAGGTGTCGAGCATGAAGAGTAATATTCCCTCTCGATCAGTGTTTTTCTTCTCTTCTTATTGTGTTCTTATCTGTTTTCCAAGTGATGGATTTTTGATTGGAGAAAAAGATGCTGCAATCATTTTGTGTGGCTCTCTTCTTGTCCTCCATTCTTTTTCTTATTTAACTTAGTTTTTCAGTTGTCTGTCTGCTATTGTGTGATCTGCAAGTATCCTTAAAAAAAAAAAAAAAACGGAGTCGCTGGCTGCTCCAAATTTGTACTTTACATTTTTAGAGTGGCATTATTTTCTTTTAATGCCTGCTTTTGTTTTTTTACTTCCAATTTGCTAGCAGTTATAAAAAAATAGATATAGACATATCACCTCGATCCACAGTGGATATTTATTCATTCATTCATTATGTGAGCACTTTAGCCTCACGAGTGTCGTGGGCGTGCCCGGAGCCTATCTCAGCTGTCTTCGGGCAGTAGGCAGGGTACACCCTGAACGGATCGCTAGCCAATTGCAGGGCATACATAGATGAATGCCCATTTGCGCTTGCACTCACACGTAGGGACAATTTAGATTTTACAGTGTAGTATTTATGGTTTTGTTTACCTTGGGCCCCAAATGTCGAGCCCTGGGCTGAGCCAGTGATGTTGTAAACCAGCTGACATACCTTACCCATAGTGTGATTAGCAACTCGTGCTGCCCTGGACTTTGACGAACAAACTGAGATGCAAAATTGTTCATTTCCAACCTTGATGTATATTTACAAAAAAAAAAAACAACAACAATAACAGGAATTGTTTTTCTTGGTCATCGGTTTTGTGTTGCTCCGAATTACAGCTACATATCCTTGCTGAATAAATATCGAAATATGTAGTTGTTCACAACAGATGACGGTAACTTGCTGTTGATCAGCTGTTTTATGACCCAGAAGATGAGCTGCCCTGACACTTTGTAATATGAAGCATAACCATCACCAATACAGTATAAAGCACTGTAATCACAATCAGGCCTCTTCCGTTCACATGTCAGCTCTTATTTTCCTCACCGTTGCCTCCTTATCAAAGACGCCAAGAGTGGGCTATGATTCCAGTGTTTACCACTGAGCAGCCTGCAAGGACACAGACAACATTTTTTTGTGTGTGTGTGTGTGTGTGTGTGTGTGCGTGCGTGCATGCGTGCGCGTGCATGTGCATTATTGGTGATTATCTCAAGGTAGAGCAAAACATTTTTTAATAAGTTCTGTCCATTTTGCATATAAATTAGATGTACTGCAGACATTGATTAGCAGCAAAAAAAAAATCAAAATCATCTCAGCCATTTAATGTGCGATAAACAGCTTTCTGCTGATCCCGATACTGTATTACAAATTCAAAAATCATAGCGGATGCCATTTATGTTATCTCTTTCTTTCCTCCTCTTTCTATGGATATACTGTATATCGATCTCTCGATCTAGCTAGCTAGCTATCCATCTCACTAGCTATCCATCTCACCCAAAGTCAGTTGAGATTGATTCCAAATGTTTGGCGTTTAAGTTAAAAAGAAATAAATCAAATACAGTTTCTAAACATGTTTTTTTAAACCATGTAATGGTAATCCCCAAGATTGAAGAATGGTTTGTAAAAGTTTCATTTATGTTGTAAATGATTTGTTTCTTATAAATGATCAAACGGTTTACTTTCATCAAAGTGATTTGGGAAAGTTACTCACCAACTATTTGTTTGCCTTCATGCAGGCTATTTATAAGATGGTGTCCTCGGTGATGAAGATGCCGGAGGATGAGTCAACACCTGAGAAAAGGACAGAGAAGATCTTCAGGCAAATGGACACCAACAGAGACGGTAGACTTGCTTTACCTGCTGCTTTTTTGAAGAGACACAATTTCTAGGGGTTTGCAACATGCTAGTGCAGTCAAAATACCATAAAATGTGAATAATTTTAACTCACATTACAATGCCTCTTTTTGGTCTTGTTGAAATTAGTCTCTTTTGAATGTTCTATATTGTCTCATGCAAGTGAAGAAGGGCTCACCCAACACTTTTCATTGCTGGGCCAATGATGAGTGCAGATTTCTTCTGCATAACTCAGGGCAAAACTGGGAGAGGCTTTGTACTTTGAACCCCAAATATATCTATTTTTTAAAAATAAATACGTTTTAAAAAGCAACTGTAAAGCTCATGCAAGTCCCCCAAAAAACTGTCACGTTGCGTACAAGGCAGGAAAAAAAGAACTGCTTCGTATGCAACAGAGCGAACGAGAATAGGTGGATCCCCGAAGTAGCAGACACTGACAAGGCCTTCGTCTCAAAAAATAATATTTATTACAAACGAAAACACCGTCTAATGGAAAACAGAAAACGCTGGTCAAAACGAGAACCAGGAGATAATGTAACGTGAAAAAACAAAGCGCTTGCAAAAAACGGCAAGGAAAAAGATAAGACAATTCACTCGATCAAATCTGCGTTAATAAATAATCCCAATGGGATGACGAAAGTGTAGCGAACAACAATTGAATGCGAATAAGGTTTACGAGCATGGGCAATCACAGTGGCACGGCATGCAATACTCCGGCAATGAATCGGAAGCCTGAGTGCTTAGAAATAGCAGGTGTAATCATTAACAAATAGGCAGCAGGTGTGCAGACAGCAGAATGAACGCCTGCCACCTGCTGCCAAATACGGAACATGACAAAAACAGAGAGAATTATAATTTTCCTCATAGAGGAAGCAAGTCATCAGCTGCCAAAATACACTTTGTCAATCAATCAATGGTCAGTGTATTGTATGTGGCACATGCGAAATGCAAATTGCACTTCAGGAATAAGTGCCCAGTTATGCGCAATATTCAGGCCATATTTATTAGTCTTTTACCTTTTTTTCTTATTATTGTTGTTGTTATTTCTCACTTTAGGATTGTTTAGGTCTGTTCATGTTGTACATTGTCCATTGACTTTGCAGTTGCATTGGCACATATCCAATTCACATCTGAATTTTATTCACATTTCGAAATGGTTATCTAATTCATGCCTTATTCTATTTACAAAAAAGAAAGAAGATTTGATTTGTATGATTTGAACAATGTAGTGTAAATCCAGCGTTATCATTGAATCTAGGTGCAATGAAAAGCATGTATTTTGAAGTGCGTGTGTGTCAAAACATGTCACTGCCAGCTGGTTTACCGGCCGTCAGCTGTCTTCTTCTGATGAACTCTTTGAGGGGCCCCAAACAGATGGAAATCAGAAGTCGCAAGGTCTTGACTGTAAGGGGATGGGGAAGCAATTCCCAAACCAACTGGTTGATGGGCTCCACTGTTTTGGCTGCTTCATTTTGGGAACCCAGCGGCAGCTGACATTGGAGTGAAGAAAATCTTCATGAACAATTTGGTGTGCTATTCCAACAGAGATACTTCAACCGCATTGACCATGGTTGGAGTTCTCACTTCTGGCCTGTCTTCGCCAAGATCATTATTACGCCCTTCCTGAAATAATCTAGACCAGGGGTGCCCGTTATGTCGATCGTGATTGACCAGTAGATCAAGGACTGGTCTCAAGTCGATCCGAGGGGTGTGTGTGTGTTGGGGGGGGGGAATAAATGTGTCTCTGTGCATGTGAGTAATAATATTTTTTTTTGTGCTAATGCACACTGTACCCTAATCATTCTGTCACTCTCACTTTCACAAAAAGTATTTAAAAAATAAAATAAAATAAAGCAGGTCATCTCTAACCGGAAGTTGTTAGCGCACAGCAGTTGCAGCTTGCGACCAGAGTTGCTGCGCTATATCTTGTATCGTTATCATATTCTCATTCAGAGTTTGTTTTGTACAATTCACCGAGGGGACGGGCAAAGAATGGGAATCTGGAGGGCTGAGAGAAGCATTTTAAAAGGGTACGCGTGAGCTACAATCGTTAACAGGCTGACTAAGTGCGTCGCATGCCTCAGCGTCATGCTATTGCTGATTATGGCATGCGTGTGTACGTGCGTGCCTGTGTAAGCGTGCGTGCGCGGTCACGAGTCGATCGCTGGAGGTGGGTTGATCGAAAAGTAGATCCTCGGTCAAAAAAGTTTGGGCACCCCTGATCTAGACCATTTATAGACTTTTTTTCTGAATTGTGCTGCTCTATACAGAGCAGACATTCTTCTAAAAAAAATCACTTGGTTTGCACTGTTCTGATCTCGGTTCAGTCCTTGAGCACATTTTCATGTCAGCCATTTTATATCATTGGAAAACTGATTACAAAACAATGAGCTATTATCACAAAAAAATAAATACTGTGAATAGGACACTGGAGGTTCGAACATACACACAAACATGCACATTGCGTACACAATCACTTTTGCAATTCAAGTTTTATTTTCTGCATTCCCTGGCAAGTTTAATGATTGTCACATGAGTAAGAGAGCTCAATGGTCAGCACTAACCCAGTCTGTCCTGGCTATGGAATAAAAATTCAAAACTAGGAGTGCCACAAACACTTATATTGTTTGTTGACTAGTCAGCGATACTAGTTGCAATTGGTCGACTAATTGGATCGTTTAAATTACAATGACAGTCCATCCAACTGTGATGAAACTTCCCTTCCCTAAAATGTGGTATTTGGTGTTGTGAAATCATAATAAACAAATATAACTAGTTTCATCCCATTCTGAGGTAGTCAGATTAACTCCATCTGTCGAATTGAAACAGAACGTCCCAATTCTGGTTGATGGCAGCGTAATGAGGAGAGAAGGCATGAAATGCTGAGATAGGAATCAGGCCTCTTCCAAATGGGGATAACAATCTGATATGTATCAGATATCTGCCACTGCGCCTGCAGCGTATCCGACAGATTTGACACACCCTGTCAATGTGACCCTGACCTGAAAAGACACATGAACACATTTTACAAGCACACCTGAAAATCTTAACTATAACAGCGGTCACTGGCATAGACTATTAAATATGTTCTGAATATGGAACATTAAATATGCATCGATTATTATCATAGAATCATTCATGCTGACGGTGTCCGACAGAACAATGCCAAGGTTACTTATTTGAATCAAAGACAATCCAGGCCACACAAGTGGTGCAATATTCAGTTGTTACTCCTTCCATATTTTCCAACCGATTGTCACCATTCCAACTTGAACATATTGCAAAAATTAATGGCATGTATGCTTGCCGTTTTCTCTTTCCAAAAATTCACGTTTTTCTCCAAATTCCAAATTTTTCACCCAGAAATTCCCCATTCATTCCCCAATGACACATTCTACATTTTCCACCCATTCAATTCCTACAAAAACTCACTAATCATTCTCATTTCAATAAAACAGAGTCACGTCATTCCCCTTCCAAATTCGAAATGTTCAGCTCATTCATTTCACTTTGAAGACAGTCGTCAACATTCCAAAAACTTTCCCGTGCCTAATATGTAAACTTCACCACTATTTAAACAGGAGAGAAATGTGAGAAAATTATTCTCACATTTCCCTCCTGTTTAAACCCGCTCAAAGTTCAACCCTTTGCAAGAAAAATAAGCATACAGTATTACTATTATTTATTGCTTATTGTACAGGATACACGCATGGAGGAGATGGAATCAAATTGGTCTATGGAACACGATGTGTGTTTGAATACTGTACAAACAGCATGCAGAATTACACGGTAAAAAAATACAGAAAGTCAATTAAGACGCAATGAGGGTTGTAAACTGTAAACAAAAATTAAATAAAAAATAGCATGCAAAATTGCGTTTGAAAAAAAAAATCCACGATAATACAGCGAGTCCGCGAAAGGTGAAACGCAATATAGTGAGGGACCACTGTAGTTAATTACACATTTAATGTGAACGCCACAATCTGGTAACTAGACTTCACGGAATCACGCCTCTTTGGTGGTTATCCACCAATTTCCATCTTACACATGGTGGGTGTGTCAGAAGCCGAGACGGGAGATCACTGCACCTTGAATGCGCGCAATAAAGGCGTTTGAGAAATCGACTTAGGCACGAACGTGCATTAAAAATGTTACAATACTGAAATGGGTTACATTGTAATGTGCTTTAAAATTAAATCATGACATGAAATTCAACGCACTGTTATAACACTGCTGTGTTCTAGGCAAGCTGTCCCTGGAAGAGTTCATCAAGGGGGCGAAGAGTGACCCCTCTATCGTACGCCTGTTGCAGTGTGACCCCAGCAGTGCTGGACAGTTTTAAAGATGAGGCATCAACTTGACTTGTAAGGCTCAGATGAATAATCCACAAATGACATCAGTCTGTCAAATAGATTACAGAAGATAGTGAAGTGCATTTGTGACCTTTAGTGTGTCCTGCTGCAAGATTTTCCCTTAAGGTAGCAGTACTTTCATCTGAAAATGTTGTGTTAGCGCGTCGACCTCACAGTGCAGTGGTACCGGGATCGATTCCAGCTCCGGCCTCCCTGTGTGGAGTATGCATGTTCTCCCTGTGCCTACGTGGGTTTTCTCCGGGTACTCCGATTTCCTCCCACATTCCAAAAACATGCATAGCAGGCTGATTGAACACTCAAATTTGTCCCTAGGTGTGAGTGTGAGCATGGATGGTTGTTTGTCTCTGTGTGCCCTGCGATTGGCTGGCAACCGGTTCAGGGTGTCTCCCACCTACTGCCCGAAGACAGCTGGGATAGGCTCCAGCATGTCCCGCGACCCTTGTGAGGATAAAGCTAATCAGAAAATGGATGGGATGTCCAAGGACATCCTAACTGTCAACAATTGTATTTGATAAAAATGTTCCTATTCTCACTTCTGAACAGGTCATGTTGTCTCTTTTAGAACTTGTCTTGGTGATCCATAATGCCCTTCACTCTCCACTATGGAGAAGACTGATGATGAAGAATGTCAAGCAAGTGACGACGTGACGAAGACGACAGGCCTTCAGTATACACTGAAGATGTCAAAGCTGTGCACAACTCCCGACCCACTAGTAGTTTTTCTAAATCCGGGCAAATTCCAACTGCCTGACCTTCGATTGGTTTTGAGAACCCAGTGATAGCTGTCAACAGGCTCGTAGAGAAGATTTCCACTCAATGTACTGTATATACACTGGTGTTTCTGTATCAGTGTCCTTGCTTGGCTCTTTGTGGACCCGCACAGAGGCACGAATGTGCATTGTAGACAAGGGTGTTCAATAATGAGAACCCCAACCACGTTTTGTAAGCAGAAGAATTTCATCTGCAGGGCAGACTTGAGAAGTATTATGTTTGACTTCTTCTTTGCTGCATTGTGTGACAATGTATTTGGTGAATTCCACAAATTAGTGTTTCTTTGCAAAAACAAAAAAGAAAAAAAAACAACACACCCACAATGATATGCTCATTTGCCTTTACTGCACTTGCAAGAGCTCACAAATGAAAGGATGGTTTGAATGTCATTGAGTATCTTGAAAAGGAGTGTTGGATAATTTCAGCTCTCTCCATTTTTGGGGAATGTAGGAGGGTGGAGGCAATTTGTAAACCAGATCCATCCCAAGATGATTGTCATCGTCTTTGTATTCATGCTACTGTGAGATTTCCATCATTTAAAAAAAAAACACCTCACTTCATTTTCGATGTTTTGAAATGCTGCATGTTAGATGGGATCAACCAGTACTCAAAACACATATGCATGGAGCTTATGCCTGTGTGGAGTTCCGACTGATGTGTGAAGATGAGTGGCTGAATGGTCAGTCACACATGCGGTTCTGTGATTCTGTTCTCAAGTACTGTATCGCCAGAATCAGTACTACCAGTAGTCAGTATTATTGAAACCACTCTCGGATTTGCCTTTTAAAAAGTTGGACAAACGTGACCCCGAGTGGTGCCTTGCTCACCTTGATCATGGAGGAGCTAATTCACTTAGGCTTAGCTTTGGGTCTTATATTGAAGAACTGCTGTTCGTATTTCATACCATTCAGATTTAAAAAAAAAAACAAAAACATAACTACTCCATAAACTACTGCAATGATATGGGTTGCTTTTATTGTATTGGTGAGATTTTTTTTTCAGGACTGCATCAGGTGTAACTTTTCTGTAAAATGCAAAAAATGAAGGAAAAAAACCCATCTTGTGGTCAAGTGCCAACTAAGCAACAAAAGCAGTATTGTATGAATGTATACTATACATTTGTTGTTCAATGGAATGTTTGTAGGTGTTACATTTTTGTAGATTTTGTGTGGTATCCTGTGCTAAATGGCTCCAATTTGAGAAATACAGGATTCTGATTTTAGTCAGCCTTAAACGTAGAATATTAAATTTACAATTTAATTTTAGCTTTTGTGTCTGGTGTTCGTGTGATTTCGTTTACAGGCTGATCTCAGAATCCTTCTAGCTTTTCCTAAAAGTTTGGGTCCCGGCATACCACTCAGCAAAAATGTGACAATAAGTATGGCTATTGAAATAATTATATTGTCTCAATTTACTCACAAATTGACTTTGTGTGAAATCTGGCTCTGCCTAATTGAAAACAAAGCTGATGTACCGAACCTACAGGAACTATGACTTCTTCTATCATAAGCACACATTCACAGCAAAAAAAAAAAAAAAAAAGTAAACACTGTAACAGCGCTGGTGCAAAAGTGACAAAATATGTATAAAGGCAAGCACTGACGATGGTCATAACGTGTAATTGCAAATTATGGCAAGCAATAATAGAGCCCACCATCTTCCTTCGGCTTCACACCCAAATTTGTAGAAAAAACAAAACTGAAGTCATTTCAAATGGCATCTTTGTGGCTTTCATGAAAACATTATAGAATCACATTGTAAATTTCCATTCCCAACATTGAACACCTGCATCAGATAAGACCTGCTCATTGCCCCTGGCCTGCCGGCCTGCGCGTGTTCACCTTGAGAAACAAAAACACCAGTGAAGTGAATAAGCACACATTCACAGCAAAAAAAAAAAAAAAAAAGTAAACACTGTAACAGCGCTGGTGCAAAAGTGACAAAATATGTATAAAGGCAAGCACTGACGATGGTCATAACGTGTAATTGCAAATTATGGCAAGCAATAATAGAGCCCACCATCTTCCTTCGGCTTCACACCCAAATTTGTAGAAAAAACAAAACTGAAGTCATTTCAAATGGCATCTTTGTGGCTTTCATGAAAACATTATAGAATCACATTGTAAATTTCCATTCCCAACATTGAACACCTGCATCAGATAAGACCTGCTCATTAGTCTGCAGTTAAACAGGAGCGATCACACCTTGGAGAGCTGTTGCACCAACTGGACTGACATAAATCAGGTCCCAAGACGAGAAAAGTCAATTGAAACAAAGGAGACGATGATCAAACTTTATAAAGGTAAATCATCATACAGTGTTGAAAAAGATGTTTTTGTGATTTCATACTTTTTTTCCTTAAAATTAAGTGACTCCAGACTTTTTCCTACTGCTTGGTCTTAAAAAAGAATTTATACTGCCTACCACTTTTTTGTGTTTCTCAAAGCCAGGAAGTTGAACATTTGAAATTACTTAAGTTTGGTGTCATGTCTGTGATCAGCTTTGTTTCTACAAAATTAAACAACTGAATGCATATCCTCTGAGGCGTGTGATTCTAGCATTTTTGCCAGGAGTTCTGAAAGGTTCTATGTCCATTTTATTTCTTGAAACTATGATAAACAATGAATTAGCCATGTTCATTGCCTGCTATTGTGTGAAAATATTGGATACAATTGACTTTGACTGTAACAATCAAACATTCTATTCTAAAAACTATTACTACCAAAAAAAATGTTCAGACATTATCCACGACCACCCCTGGCTACCGCGTGGCTTAAAGCACGAACTAAAGTCTAATTCTCAGTTAAGGCTTTTCTCAAAATGTGAAATTCTTCTTATACCAAACGGCTGATAACGCTTCATGTGATATCCCATAAATGAGCTTTTGACCCCTCTCCTCCGCTATTTGACCCCATTAAGAACAGAACATACTGTATGTGCATGTGCGCTCATTCGAATGCATCGGTGGTGTTGTTGTGCAGGCCTTTTGTATTTTCTGAAACACTAAAGCTTATGGGGGGGTAAATTGTGCCTATCTTGACACAATTAAATAAACACTGAATTCAATTACTGTATGTGATTATATGCTCATAAAAAAACAACACAAAAAGAGCTGATCTTCTCCACCAACACGCAGCACGTTCCTTAATAATGGTTGTTGTAAAAATGTAACCAAAACTAATCATTTACTCCAAAATATCTGGTTGGTATGTACATCTATTAGGCTAATTAGGCATCCAGACTACAGTAGTCTCATTCGCTGCACAGAGCCTATAAGATTATTGACTAGGATATTGCTTCACAAAAACTTCAAACTCGCGTTTCAACCAACCTCTCACAAACATACTGTACTGTTTGCACATCACAAAAAAAATCAGTTTATTACAATTTCCTCTGGTGGTGCATGTGAGTACTGGGAAATGCTAAATAAAGAAGGGAGTCTAAATGTGGAAAATGCTTCACAGCATCACAGCAAGCGCCAGATGTTAAGTAAGTCTGCCCTCTAGCGGAGGAGCTGTGAACAGAAGCACAAATCAGGCGTCGCCGAACTGGGCATCGATTCCCTGAATTCCTACGTCAATGACAGTGGTGTTTACACACAAAAAATGGACAGAGACTGGGCCAAAAATAAAGAGCTAATTCATTCAGACCTTTGAAATGTGACCAATAACATGTACAATTTAAATTTTAAGAAGAAGGTGTGCAGTATTATATTTTTATAACACGATGTATGGCTTAATCCAAAACACTTCACGTGCATTAAAAAAAAAATCAGATGCGTGAATCTGTGCGTACACATGAATTCAAGCATATTCCTTTAGTACATCTCAATCTATGTCAAAATGTTGGAGTAACAGAGTCCTTTTCCACTCCTCTGCATAAGTATGCAAATTAATATAAACAGGGCCTGAAGGTGGGTCTGCATGATCAGATAATCAGATTATGAAGCCATGAGTCACCAATGAAAGAAGAGGAACTTCACAAATGTCAGCTGGAGATACTTGTAAGACGAGTCCCCAAAAATTATTAGAGCGGGGTTTAGCTCAGCGGTCAGCGCTCTGAGCTCCCAAACCGGAGACATGTTGCCCAGCATCACCTGTCCAGCTCGCCAACGGCTCAAAAGAAAGAAAAACATGCACACACCAGCCAAGTAGTTGGTGTGTTTAGTACCGCACATTCCCACGATCAATTTCACGCGATACATCCGAAGGTATGGGGAAAGGTGTGTTTCTGTGTGTGTGCACCTTTTCTACATGAAGCCCCTTGTTATTACAGTGGAGTTCCTTGCCACATCGCTTAAAACATTGGTGTCAAACTCTGGTCCTCGAAGGCCGCTTTCATACATGTTTTCCATCTCTCCCTGCGGCAACACACTCGATTCAAATGATCAACTCATCAGCAAACTCTACAGGGGTTGGCTAACAAGCGTGATCATTTGAATTAGGTGTGTCACAGCCGGGAGGGATGGAAAAAAGGCAAGACATCGCCCCGCGAGGACCAGGTTTGGACACTTGTGGTTCAAAGAAATGTATATCTGTCGACCAATCAGATGACAGCGACATTCCTCATCAGTCTGCATTTTGTAATCCGGTTGAACGAGATTCCGAGGAACAGTTCTATTGCAACCGCGCAGTCCCCTAAAAGTATACTGGGAAAAGCCACCACGCAGGATGAAACTAGGCTGATTTGGGGGTACCATGGAAATGGACCTCATGGTTTTGCCGCCAACAAATAGCATGAACAGGATTTTTTTTTTTTTTTTGCGGGGGGGGGGTTGTTTTTTTTGTTTGTTTGTTTTGTTTTACTTTTCCAATGACGTCCCCTTCAATGCCTTTCCTTTTCATGCAAAGAGTTGAGAGCAAAATTGTGCAATCATTTTAGTACAATGACAATTGTACAGATGATGCCGAGAATTGTCACACAATTTAAAGTGACCAGTATTGTCGTAATTGTGAAATAAAGATGATACAAAGAGTCCTCCTTGAGCACTTTAAAGTGTCCGGTGGGGTGCATTTTCAATTGTGAGTTGTCCTGGAAAATTCAGTTTCCTCCCTCTGCTTCTCCCTGCCTTGTGGGTGAACGCAAACGGGCTAAACAGGCATGTCTGTCTGTTCTAAGTTGCCTTCAATGGGCAACATTGAGGTGTAGCACTTTTCTGCTTCATCTCTGCTACGAGCTGGCGCAGCTCCCCATATGATTCTACCAACCAATGAGATACAGGTATTGTATGAGAACAGTTCTGCTCTTTGTTGTTGGATTTACCGACTTTTCAGACACAAGTAAGGATTTTCTTTCTCCAAAGGACTGCCAAAACTAGCGACTTTCAGTTCAAAAGTGTCGCCTTAGCGACGTATATCGACGGTGTGGGGTCCCCCCCCCCCGCTCTATCCCCTCTGTTGAATGACAAGAGAGCTGGAGTGGGTGTGAATAACGGAAACTTCATTAGGAATTCAGCTCAATTCAAATACTGTATCGTGTATGTGCACAGAGTGGAGCTCTGACGTTTCATGCAGTTTTTAGCGAGTGTTACAATCTCTGTCAATGAGGTTAATCAACTTGGGTATGGCATTGCCATGGGTGCTAGGATGGGGTTTGGCCTCTCTCCAAACCATCAGCAGCTCATTAGTCAGTCAGCTGTATTCCATTGTCTTGATTTGCTTCCCAATGAAAGTACCGGTAATTTAAAAGTCAACATCCAAGTAAGATCTAATATTAGCGTTGTGACGTTCACGAATGTGTACCGGTAGTTCTTTCGATTGTCTCTTTTGGGGTGAACGATGAGATGAGAATTGATTTGCAGCTGTGAGAGAGAGGTTATTTTTTAATTCTTATTTAAGATGATTTGGTACAGTAATTGGCCACATTGAAGCAATCTGGCAAAATGTACAAAATATAAGGCACCAGTGTAAAAAAACAATACTTCCCCAAAGCAAAGTGGACACTTGAGAACCCCTTTCACTCCGATCGTCGGTACAGTACCATGTGAGGTCATGCTCCACTGTCAGGGTTGAGAGTCCCACTTTAAACAGCTCCTTGACCATATGGAAGAACAACAAAGACACGAGGAAAAATTACACAATGTGCTGTATATTTTTTTAATATAATAACATTTGGATCGACACTTTAGTCGGGGCTCTTTGCATTTTTGAAACCTGTGATAATACAGGTCCTTCTCAAAAAAAAAATCATATTTAAAATTTTCATATATTTTAGATTTATTGCACACCAACAGAAATATTTCAGGTCCTTTAATGTTTTAATACTGATGATTTTGGCATATGGCTCCTGAAAACCCCAAATTCCTATCTCAAAAAATTAGCATATCATGAACAGGTACTCTAAACAAGCTGTTAACCTAATCATCTGAATCAACGAGTTAACTCTAAACACCCGCAAATGATTCCTGAGGCTTTTAAAAACTCCCAGCCTGGTTCATTACTCAAAACTGCAATCATGGGTAAGACTGCCGCCGACCTGACTGATGTCCAGAAGGCCACCGTTGACAGCCTCAAACAAGAGGGTAAGACACAGAAAGAAATCTCTGAGCGAATAGGCTGTTCCCAGAGTGCTGTATCAAGACACCTCCGTGGGAAGTTTGTGGGAAGGAAAAAGTGTGGCACAAAATGCTGCACAACCAGAAGAGGTGACCGGACCCTTAGGAAGATTGTAGAGCTGGGGCCGACTCCAGAACTTGGGGGACCTGTGGAAGCAGTGGACTGTGTCTGGAGTACAAGCATCCAGAATACAACCAACATGCACAGGCGTGTGCAGGAAATGTGCTACGGGTGCCGCATTCCCAGGTCAAGCCACTTTTGAACCAGAAACAGCCGCAGAAGCGGCTGACCTGGGCTACAGAGAAGCAGCACTGGATTGTTGCTCAGTGGTCCAAAGTACTTTTTTCGGATGAAAGCAAATTTTGCATGTTATTTTGAAATCAAGGTGCCAGAGTCTGGAGGAAGATGCCAAAATGCTTGAAGTCTAGTGTCAAGTACCCACAGTCAGTGATGGTCTGGGGTGCAATGTGAGCTCCTGATGTTGGTCCACTGTGTTTTATCAAGGTCAGCTCGCTATTAGGAGATTTTGGGGCACTTCATGCTTCCATCTGCTGAAAAGCTTTATGGAGATGAAGATTTCATTTTTTTTTAGCACGACCTGGCACCTACTCACAGTGCCAAACCCACTGGTAATGGTTTACTGACCAGGGTATGACTGTGCTCAATTGGCCTGCTAACTCTCCTGACCTGAACCCCATAGAGAATCTGTGGGATATTGTCAAGAGGAAGTTGAGAGACACCAGACCCACCACTGTGGATGAGCTTAAGGCCACTATCGAAGCATCCTGGGCCTCCATAACACCTCAGCAGTACCACAGGCTGATTGCCTCCATGCCACGCCGTATTGAAGCAGTCATTTCTGCAAAAGGATTCCCGACCAAGTATTGAGTCCGTAACTGAACATAATTATTTGATGGTTTACTTTTTTTGTGTGAACACTTTTTTTTTTTTTTTTAATTGGTCGGATGAAATATGCTAATTTCCCTTTTTTGCCCCAATAATGAATATGAAAACAATAAAAGGCTTGAACTACTTCATTTTAATGTAATGAATCTAAAATATATGAAAGTCTAATGTTTATCAGTACATCACAGAAAATAATGAACTTTATCACCATATGCACATTTTTTTTAAGAACCTATATGTTGAATCAGACTGTAAAATGATAGCAACAGAACACATTGGCTACCGACACAATCATGTTTGTAACTGGTGACAGAGCAGACACTGACACACCCATTCTGATTCGTTTTGTGTACCAACATAAACTGGTAGCTGATAAGAACAAACCATGAGCTCATTTTGTGACTGTGGTATTGCAATCGCTGAGGTCAGTCTGTGTTGAAGATGTCAAAGAAGTCCAACAGGTTTTGTGAACAAATGCAATTTTCTGTTTCACCCTGGAGACAAATACCACTTGCTCACACCTCTTACCACAGGAAACCTACCACAACTTGAAAAGTGAAGCAATTTAGATTCCGTTTTTGTAGCTTGGAAAGAGAAGCAATGACCATAACCTAAAAAATAGTGTCATTTACGACGTTTGATATGGTCTCTCCAATGCTAATGGGCAAAATGATATACCGTAATGGAAGCTTTCCATCACAATTTAGATTCCCACATATCCCGACAGTTCGGATTTTCCCAAATTGATGCATCACATAAAGGATGAATTAATCATGTTTCACTTGATAATCAACTGCCAAATAAAAATGATGTGTGTGTCTGTCTATGAGATTTGGCTGATTTATAACTGGTTTAACTAGTTAGACATCTCATATTCCCTGAGTTTAACTCTTTGGTTGTTGTCTAAAATTCCTTTGCTTTCCCATGGAACCACACCTTGACATGAAAACTCGAAATTGTGGGGGTTCTTTTATTGACACAAAGAACTTGCAAATACTAGCCTCACACGCTCTTCTGAAGTCAAAAAATAATAAATGAAATACTCCACCCCACCCCCTTCAATATCATTGCTTCATTTCGCTTCCACCCTTAAATATGCTTTTAAAAGAATGATTTTTTATGAGGTTTCCAGACCTTTTTCAACAAAGATTTACTTTAAATGCCAGAATAATGACATATACGGAACACAAATTAATGACAAAGACCACCGAGGAACTAAATTTACGACAATAAACCCCTTGCTTGAATCTAAAGAGAGACAATCAATGCTAACGATGATTGTCTTATTTAAAATCCATCATCGTGGTTTAAGAAGGCAAAATCATACAAATTCTGTCACTATCCAAATACTAAACTTACTTCATACATTAATTATAATAGTAGCAATAAAATGATTGTTCTGTAGAATACATGTTGATGAAGAGAAAAATAAAGATATTATGAACGTGAAATAATGTAATAATCTGTCTTTATGCCAGAAATATTTGTTAAGAGAAAAGTGGTCACTGACCTTTCATACAGATCATGCAAAGTAAGAGATAGCAAGAAAAAAAACACGGTGATTTGGATTGTGTATCCGGATGACGTTTTTGCGGTTTGATTGAGGACATAAGTAGATAAATGATTGAAAATAAAGTAATAGTTGAGTAGCTGATAGTGTCGTGGTACAGTACACTCACTTGGCTTGTGTGTGTGGGGGGGGGGGGTGCAATGCGGGATCGGTTCCGATTCAGTGATGGTATGGATGTGAGTGTGAATGGTTGTAATGATTTTAGAACTTATTTTTCATGTACATTTAATACCTTTTAAAACGGATTTAAAAATAATAATGCTCACCGCCATGTCCATTGGACGATCGTATATTTTGCAAATGTTGGACTAGACTGCATAATCATATTCACACTCTCCGTCGCCCAATGTAATGCATCTATGCTAGCTTTATTCCTGGAAAAAAATGACACAAATCTACCAAGTGATATTCTACTTTTGATGTGAAAGACGTGGTGTAGGATGGTCTATTTTTGGGGCACAAAATACACTTTGGAGAACTGCGACTGACCGGCGACCGATCCAGGAAATGCTCTTTTGCTCGCGAGCCACAACCGCATCAACAGTGCTGGAAAGTGGAAATATATTTCTTCCTACTTCACGCACAAGTTGACCAGAGAGTGCGGAGAGTGCAACTTTTGTCCAGTGTCTCAACAGCTTCATTCACGAGTGCAGCTCATCTCGTTATGGACACGAGAGCCATACTACCGCCAGACGGCGCCAGGGACGCAGATCCTCCTTCGGGCAGATAGGCTCCTGTCCTGCATCTTGCTGGTGAAAATGTATTGGGATGGCGCATCTGTTTCATCATTCACTGTCCCGTAAATGTTCATAAACGCGTGGCGTGCCTGCCTTTACTGTCTGTCTACCTTCTGCATACGGGGACCGACAAAACTTGCGTAAGTAAACTTTTTGTAAAAAATGTGGGATAACATGCCGGCGTATATAACTTGTTTACAGTTTCTGATCGACCCCTTGCACATTTTTGCTCTGCATTTTGGTATACTTTTTCTTTGTGTCCTCGTTGTTGTCCGATTTGTCTATTGTCCAGCAATAAATTACACACATGTTAACGTCTCGTTTGGGCTATCATGGACGTACCCATTTGTTGAAAATGTTGCCATAAAAGTGAAATATATGAATATGTATTTTGCAGGTCTTACGCGTTTTGCCATCCATTTTGATAACCGCCCATTCTGAACAGGGGGGAGTTGCTGGAGGCTATCCCTACTGATTTCGGGCGGAAGGCAGACTACACTCTTAAAGTGGTCGCCGGTCAGTCGCAGGGCACATATACAGTAAAGGCAAACAGCCATTCACACCCTCATCCACGCCGTCATTGAGTGGGAACCGATCCCACGTTGTCCGCACACAAGTGAGGTATCTGAGACTACAACTCCCATGATGTCTGCCGTGGTTGCCATGGTGGTGCTGACGTCATCCACCCTTGCACAGGCTGCGCCTTTAACGAGTAGAATTGGAAGGAAACCATCGATTCTTCTCGCTGACAACGCAGAGGGGTATCAGCTGGAAGTTGAAAGCCAAACCCGCTGGTGTCTACCATTACCTAGGTAAGAATTGACAGAAACACACTGCAACTATCCCGTCGCGTTACCACGGGAGATTGCTCGCCTTTTGTCGTGTAATACAGCGACAAATTGTCCCAGTGATAATTGCAATTGACCTTGGGTTTGCTGGAAAATGCCGACAATCGTCACAGTCCAGGAACAATGGCCAGCTCCACAACAATGAAACCTATCTTATTAGCTGCTTTCAACTAAAACCCGAGGAAGGCGTGTCACGTCGAAACTCAGGTTATGTCCGTGTGACTCCCTGCCAACTAACTTCTACCTGTTGGGCTGTGTTTGGTCATTGTCCAACAATAGATAACTACAAAGAAAACCCAAGTTGCATTGTCTCGATTGTTGCTTTTGATTTGTCGCGGATTCTTTAAAGGAATCCTTGTTAGCTTTCGTGATTCTATACGTTTTGAGATCCCGAACTTTGTTGTGTTTCCTATCATTCTAACGCCAATTTAACAAGAAACAACGCTTGTTGGCATCAGACAGTGTTCAATATTCGAACACCCTTTTTGAAGCATTTTGACAAATGTCTTGCCTTCGCAGTAGTTAGATAAAAGCCGCGTGTGGAAACTCATGGCCTAATGTCAAACGTTGTCGAGGTTTGTTTCAGGAAATATCTCGATGTCGTTCTGAAAACGGGTCACAAGCGCTAATATTATCGCGGAATTTACTTTTTTCGCGTACGTAGATTATCTCCTATCAGAACTTCACCAGGAGTTTGGGTTGGGGATGTGTGGTGTAATCGCTAATCGCCGGCAGGACATAAGGCCTCATCGTAAAAGTTTTCTATTTGGCACCTAGCCCGCGCTAGCAGGGCGAGACTCAGGTATGGAAGTGGGTGTGGTGTATATATGCAGGAGAAAAGTAGTGGGGGTGTGTTTGCCTTGCAGCTTTGTAAGGAGGGTTAGAACGGTTAGAAAGTGTGTATATGGCATTCCAGTAAGTTATTTGTCCGAGTTGCTATGTTACAGTCATAGAATACAGTACTTAATAATTGCATCCTTTACTTGTAGCCTTCCATCACTTCAGTGAGCAGGCGAGACGGTTCTTCATTTGGTTTGTAGATAGGGATAATCAGACACTGTGCAGTCATTTAGCATCGTGAAAACCAAGTGAAAAATTAACCTAGTACTGTCAACTCCTAGACCAGAATCAAATAAGATGAAGAATAGATGTATTTTTTTAAACATAACCCTTGTTAAGCTTGTCAACAGAACCAATTTATTATTGAAGATTTCATCACTGTGTGGTCTTTCTGGAACTGTGGTTTGGTTTGTCTTGAGGCTCAGGATTTGTATGAGTCTCTTCCTGAAGCACCTTTTTTTCCAAAAAGCTTCAGAACTAATTCCTTCCGCGGTATATATATATATTTGCACATTTGGATTGATTTGTAGCTTTGTGACCTTCAAGTGTTCAGAAAATAATAACAGGTCACAGGTTTTCTACCCAGTTTAATTGTATTTCATGTATCATCTTCACATATTTTCCCCATATAAACTCAGCTCTGCTTTACATAACGTGATCCCACAATGCACATTGATTTACATCCTTGTGGTTGTAAATACGGCAGGCACACTTGAATTTTATGTAATCATGCGGTAATTCTCACATGTCATTATTATACAATAAAATTACACGTGGCAAATAATAGAGTTTATAACTAGCTGTATACAGATGTTATATTGTAATATCACAAAGTATGTCTGTAATAATAACAGTAACATCTATTTAACACATTTAAATCATTCAACTAAAGCAGTGGATCTCAACCCTTTTACAGCAAGTACGGCCTAAAAATGTCACTTCAGAGTTCCCGACATAATGACGACCATCAAAATACAGTAACATAGTGGGTTGAAGTATTCGGAAAAAGTGAGGCAGAGGTTTTATTCCTGAAATATGCCCGTATTTAATAATACTTAGCCATTGCAACATTGTGCAAAGTTCAAACATTAACACTGCTTAAATACAGGAAAATAAAAATGTAGTAAAGCAATGATGACAATTAAATGCGTTGTTGGGGGGAAGTAAGATAAAAATCATACTCCAATAAATGTTTTAAAACAAACACTTAACATTAAAGTAATTTCTGTTTTTTGTTTCCCTCAATACATTAAATTTGTTAGAATATAAGTGATACCAATCTGTAAAGACTGGGAACAGTTTAGTGCTAAATTGCTTGGATATAGTATACAGCTATTTTTCACCCTCCTAGTTATGCAGATTTTTTTGGGCAAGGCTGAAACGTGGACGAGCTGATACAACCAAGGAACAGCATGAGTCGCTCCTCCCTGTTGTAGGTTCGAAGTGCCCACATGTCATCAGTGCAATGGTCCTTTCCTTGTTGATAATAACATGGCCCATTTCTAATACAGTACTACAATGTAGCTTGGTACAAGCTATACCTACAACTTGAAAAAATACATATTCCCTGAGGTTTTAATGCGTTTTGTGTCATTTGGACAACAATGGGCTACAATGTGAACTTATGCATAGCGCACGTCACAAGACTGCGGCAAACCATAAATGTGATGTTATGGTTTGCTACACTTCAGTGTGGCTCGGAGATTTTCATTCTGTTGAGCCACATTGGCGAAGAGGTTTCATCACCTCGTGCCATCCCTGAGATGGCATCCTGGTAGCTTGTAGTAGACCCCAGCCGGAAGCTCGTACATCTCCGTATTTTCCACCGGAAATACCTCACGACCCGCCGCGCGTAGGGTCCATTCACCATTTAATTAATATTTAAGACCCATTATTTAATCAGCTTTTTCTGTATATAAATTGAGCTTGATTGTTTTCTTTCTATGTTTAGGTTGTTTCATAACTTCAAACCGTTCAATATAATTTATATGTCCCTCACTTGGCTCCGCTGTCGGCTGGATTTGCGGCAATAATGAAATTGAAGAGAAGAGTTTGTTAATAACAGTCATGTTTGGAGCAAAACTATCAACCTAAAGTAATTTCAGCATTCAACAGTGTCATTCGTTGGTCATCAAAGAAATGCCTTTAACAATACAATTTTGAATGGCTTCAAGGGTGTGCTCACTAATTTTGATTCGGAATAATTTGGAACGTCCAAACTGTTGCCATCACAAAATCTTTAACTGTGTAGGCCAGGGCTCATGAAGCCTTAAGGATCATTGAAAGTAGCTTTCCAGTGATGGACATGGTGATTTTCTAGGAAAGGTAGGAGGGAAACGGAGATAATGTTGAAAAACTATCCAATGAAAATCAGGCATTGGTTTTTGTGGTACAACAGAAACATTCAATAACAAAACAAATTATATGGACAACAATGATGGTAACCATAGGAAAGATGCAAAATACTTGTGAAACCAAGGTGTATCCTAAAATTTGCATCACAGCTGTCTTCAAACATTCCGCCTGCTCAAAATCATTGTGTTTTAAAGACTTCTGTACGTTTCAAATTGTAGTGGCTCACGTCATTTCAGAATCAGACTCAGAATCCTCTTTATTGGCCATGTTTGTAGAACACACAAGGAATTTGTCTCCTGTAGTATTTTATTTGCGATGCACATTGATTGTCATTTAAAATAAACAAAATTACTTTTGACATTGTGGCTAGTAACTTTTTTTCGGGAGGGTGTAGTCACTCGAGGGCTTGGAGACGTCGCTAAAGATAGAAACAGTATTGAGAAGTTATTTCTCTTGTTTGCCAGTACTGCCCATGGACATCCACATTAAAATAAAATTATAAGATAAGAAAACCTTTATTTGGCTCACAATGGAGAAATTCCCATATTATGCTTTCAAAACAAAAATAAAAGCACCGCCTATCGATATTACATTTTATCATGACTTCATTAAGACTGTGAGGGCCGGTCCAGATGAATAAGCCCTGTGTGACCCGCAGGCCGCATTTTACCAAGGCTGCCATATATGATACCAACATTTTGGGGTACTGCATTGACATAATTCAACTACTGTACTGCAACAAACATGCAAGCTGCAACATGTTTAAAAGCAGCAGCATGGTGGCTGCTGCCGACAATTTTGACTGCGATGTGAATGTACATTGCTTGGGCTAGTTCTGCCTGAAAAGCACAGGTGAATAAATCCCTTGTGTCACAGTGACGCAAATTTATTGAGACTATGTAAAAGCTTCTTCTGAGTTTGAGCTTGTCTTGCCTGTTGTATGGAGTTTGTTTCATGGGTCTTCAGCCAGTTCAGTAGTCCCTTGACTGATTTTTGACTCCGTCTTTTTAAATCTGTTTTTCCAGTGAGCCATCATGAGCGAGGAATCCATGGAGAACTTGATCAAAAAGGCCAAACTGGCCGAGCAAGCAGAGCGGTATGACGACATGGCTGCAGCGATGAAGTCTGCAACTGAGATGAGTGACAAGGAACTGAGCAGTGAGGAGCGCAACCTGCTTTCTGTGGCCTACAAGAATGTAGTTGGGGCCCGTCGTTCTTCTTGGCGTGTCATTACAAGCATTGCAGGGAAGGCCGACGATGACAAAAAAAAGGAATTGGCCAAAGAGTACCAGGAGAAAATTGAGGCAGAGCTCAAGGGAATCTGCCAGGATGTCCTGGTGAGCTTTATTTTGTAAATCATACATTCAATTCCTGTGAGGTTTATGAAAGTAGTTGTGGTTAAATCTGTACTTTTTAAATCAGAAAAAAAAATACAGTTGGGTGATTGGTGTTAAAAATTTTTAGGAATGGTCATCAAGGTTTTACGTCAGGGACCCGACCCCCCACCCCCACTCCCACCAAAAAACCCCCCCCACAAAAAAACGTGGACATTCTATCTTGGAGTGTGCCATTTTTCAGAATTAACCAATCACTTTTAAACTAGTGGTCAATATAGAAGTTTGTGTAGCATGCTCAACAAATGATTTACACCCCAAGAGATTTGTGTGAACATCTTGAGGTCCTTTCAGAATTAATATCCGCATTAGATAAAACTTAGATTTTTGAGGGAAAGTGGGAGGGAAACCGAGATAATGTTGAAACATTATCCAATGAAAATCAGGCGTTGCTTTTTGTGGTAAAACATTCAAAAACAAAACATATTATATGGACAAAAATGATGGTAACCATAGGAAAGATGCAAAATGCCCAAAACTAAGGTGTTTGCTGAAATTTGCATCACAGGTGTCTTCACACTTTCCGCCTGCTTAATTGGTTTGATATTTGGCTAGGTGTGTACCGCGCTACACGTGGACCACAGAAAGCAAAGAAGACGACTTTTTTTGGAGATAAGAAAATTACAAATGGGTAGACGTGTGAGTAAGTTTTGTGTTTTTTAACATTGTTTTTCTGCTCAGGATCTCTTGAAACTTCATCTCATTCCAAAAACCTCTTCGGTGGAGAGCAAAGTCTTCTATTTGAAAATGAAAGGCGACTACCACCGCTACCAGGCCGAAGTGGCAACGGGGGAAGACAAGCAGGGTATGTGAGGATTTATCACATTTAAGCCATCTGTTGATGCGGTTGTGTTTAAATCTTCGTCTTTCTTATTCATTTGCTTGCGGCATATTTCTTCAGCATTAATGTGCAATTCCTATGGTGAAAGTTGGGCTCTGTGGAATGATGGATTAAACTGTTAGGCACACTTGCAACAAAACAGTCCTCACTGTGCTCAGGCTGACAACATGCAAATTGTTTTCCTAGTGTGTGTACAGGGTACCCTCTTTACTGAACATTTTTTTTAAACATCCATCCTTCCATTTTCTAATTTCCTGATCCTCATGAGGGTCGCGGGCGTGCTGGAGCCTATTCCAGCTGTCTTCGGGCGGGCAGTAGGCCTGAACTGGTTGCCAGCCAATCGCAGGGCACACAGAGACGAACAACCATCCGCCCTCACACTCACCCCTAGGGGCAGTTGAGTGTTCAATCTGTCTGCCATGCATGTTTTTTGGAATGTGGGAGGAAACCGGAGTGCCCGGAGAAAACCCACGCGGGCACAGGGAGAACATGCAAACTCCACACAGGGAGGCCGGAATCGAACCCTGCACCTATTCGATTCCTGCACGGAATCAAACCCTGCACTGTGAGACGGACGTGCCCTTTTTAGAAACAATGTTTTTAAATTTTCAGAAACAACAATTATTGATGGAAGCACGTAGGTTGATGCAATGTTTTCTCACTTGAATGGCTCTTCCACAGAAACATTGTTTGGATCCAAAGCAGCTTTTTAGACAGACGTTAACATTGTCAATTTAGTTCATATCAAGTGACCTCAGAGATCAAAGACTAAGCTCTTGGAGTACCACGTATCGCTTACTTAGTGTTATTTCAATGTGATGTGTTGAGGATAAACTCAATGTTGTATTTGGAAGACACACTGTATTTTGGTTCTTTGATGTCTTTGACTGTACAGTCAAACCTCGGTTTTCGTCTATAATCCGTTCCAGAAGGCTTTTCGAAAACCGAAACCACGCTCTTTTTAAAATAAAAATGTTTATTGAACACGTCTGCTCACAATGGAAAGCAACGAGGAAAGCGTCACTTCCTTGTCTACCCGAGGAAGCGTCACTTCCTCGTGTAAGGAAGGCGAGAGGAGTCAAATGGTGCATTCAAGTGCGCTCAGTTTGTTCGTTTGTCATCCGAGGCATAAAAAACTTGAAATTTTTGGTCAAAAACTGAATTTGGTCGAGAACCGAGATGTTCGATAACCGAGGTTTGACTGTATAATTTTTATTTCACTTCAGAAATCATCAAAGCTGCGGAACAAGCCTATGATGAGGCTTCTCAAACAAGCAGGAACCATCTGGTGCCCACACACCCAATTCGTCTTGGTCTTGCACTCAATTTCTCTGTATTTTACTATGAGATCCTCAACTCGCCTGAAAAGGCCTGCCAACTGGCTAAATCGGTAAGACCTCATGACATATATTCTGTCATTATCAATAATTGTATTTTGATTCGAACACTCCCAGGCAGGTGACTGTTGTTTAAAAAAATAAAAAACGGCATGTCGTGTACAATTCATCAAGGATATTGGCAAAGAATGGGAATCTGGAGGGCAGAGAGAAGCATTTTTAAACGGTACACGTCAGCTACGGTAGTTAACACGCTGCAAAAGTGCGTCTCATGCCTTGATCACCTTAGGGGCCGTTATGGCTGCTGCTCATTATGGCATGCGTGTGTAAATGCGTGTTTGCACGCGTGCGGTAACGAGTCGATCGTGGAAGGTTGGTTAATCGAAAAGTAGATCTTCGGTCAAAACAGGTTGGATACCCCTGCTCTACAGGATGCACTGAGGGGAAAAAAAACATTTTATCATGAAGGTTCATTGTGTATTTGTAGCCAAATTTCTTATTTTGATAATAGGCTAATATACATACAATGGTACATCTACTTACGAACGTCTCTTCATAAGAAATTTTCAAGTTACGAAACTTACAAAAGATACAAAAGAAATTTCAAGATATGAAATGTAAAAATACAGTATGGACTGCTACTTGCAGCTCAGAGTTTCCTGAACGCAACATACTTGTAGCTGCTGTGCCAATGGCTATTACTGAGCGTCATCCTGGCATACCATTGGCTAAGAGGGACTTCTACTATGTGTGTAGATAGATAGATGTGTGTCTATGCGGCGTCCTCGTCATTCGCCCCTCGTGTCACGAGGTGTTCCGTTTTAGGTAAATGTGAATCACCCAGAAAAAGCGTTCACCAGTCGGGCGATCGCTCACTATGCTGATGTTTGCCTTGAACATTTTTGAAGGATTATTAAAAGCCGACAAAAGCAAATGCCCTTGGATCAGTTCTTTACCAAACGCCAACCAAAAACCACTTCTGAGAGAGAACATACTAAAGAGGGCAATAAACGACGAGGACGCTGTTAAATGACCATCATTTTTATTCTTTACTGTATTCTTTGTTTTTTTTTACATTATGCACAACTCTCATTTATTGTGCAATAATTTAATTGGAACATGTATTTCTTACATATTTTTATGCATTTTTATTCTTTTGGAAACATGACGAAATTTTAGGAGGGGTTGGAACGAATTCGGGCATTTACATGGAAAACGCGTCTAGACTTACAAAATTTTCTAGTTAAGAAATTTCTTCCAGAACCAATCCATTTCGTAGGTAGAGATACCACAGTACACACAGCATGTGTTGCCTTCATTATAAGGCTTTTAATTTGTCGCGGCTCCAGACTTATTTTTTTGGGGGGTGAGGGGGCGTTGGTCCAATATGGCTCTTTAAAATCCATAACCCTAAAAGCTGTTATTTTATCTTTCAGGCTTTTGATGATGCCATTGCCGAGCTAGACCAGCTGCAAGAAGATGCTTATAAGGACAGCACGCTTATCATGCAGCTACTGAGAGACAACTTGACAGTAAGTTTCTCTTATTTACAATGCTGAACCATAGATCCATTTATTATCCATACATTTATTTCTTAAACACGCGCATAGATGTGTTTCATCAACATTCTAACAGAGTGGGCCATAAATTTCCATACACTTGCTGTGGGTGTCTGCCAATGACACCCACCTGTACACTACTAAGGGCAGGCTCCACACAAATTATTTTTGCTTGGAGAACAGTCTCCCCTAACTCAATTTTACGGGCACAAGCAGAAGATTTAAGGGTGCTCACTGTGAATTGACATTAAAAGTAAATATTCACATTCCTCTTACTTAGTCTCTGTATTACTGCTAATGCGCAGCAGCTCATCCCCAAACGCAATATCCTGCCTTCTTTTGCCATGACAGTTGCCTGAAAACCATTTGGGCCCATCAGGATTTGTCTCCTGTGAAATTTACCGGGGAGAACCTAAGCATTGGTAGTCCTATTAGCCATTGTTCACTATTAACGAGAGTTATGTGAAACCTTTAGATTTGCATGAGAACCCCAACAACCTTTCACAAATTAGCCAGTCACAGAAGGACTACGTTCCCCACCCCCCCCCTCTGTGTGTCATCCGGCAACTTTGACAATGTTTTGAGCGATCACGACCCCACCATCGAAGCCAAAGCACCACCAGGTGATGATCAGCTGACTTCTTCACCTTTAGTGTCCAAGACATAGTGGCGATAGTTCGATGACACGAGCACAAAGCCGATCATCGAACTGCGGTCTAGGGTTTCCTGGTGCCAAGTGCAGTTATGGAAATCATCATCAGTCCCCCACCCGAAGGCTACGTGAGGCTACTCTCTCATCCAGGGGCGTAAATCCCAATGTGTAGGCACTAAAAATTGGGGCAATAAGTATTCCTGCATCTAATCGGATGCATGCCAGCTCAGGCCCATACCTCTGAGAGGTGGCATTCCACGGCCCGAAAGCCAGCTTCTGTAGCTGAGGATGGGATTGCCCAGGTCCCTGCCTACTGCTGCCCTCCATCTTACATTGCACTCGAACCACTGGGTCCCTCATATAGGTGATGAGCCCATTTATAGGGGAAGCTTAAAATAGATAAATATGAAATGATTTGAAATGAATGTTGTTTCTCTACCTTCTCATCAATTCTCTGCATTTCTTTCCTCAGTTGTGGACATCTGAGAACGAGGGTGAAGATGTATAGAAACCCAGAGATCAAGCAAAACTCTGTTTGTCCTCTGTGTCCACCTGCCATCATCCTGATTCTTATTCATCAGTACATTGAGACCACCATAACATTATTGTTGGCCTGCTCTCTCCAAACTGACTTTAATTCAGCTCTGTTAAAACTCATATCACTCCTATGGGCTTAGGTTTACATGTTTCCTTTTGTCGAAATTTTGAGGATGAGGGCATGGGCTACAGTTGGAATTTAATGGGTGCTTGTATTGTTGGCTGCTAATCGGGCGACTTTTTTTCCCTTAGGGATGTAGATTTCATACTACTACGGTGGCGGGTCCCATAGCAAGTTCTCAACTCTTAAAAATAAGAAACAGTTATAGTGTGTGTGTGTGTGTGTGTGTGTCATTTTATGTTTGTGGTTTTGATCCACTTACATTATATTAAAGGTGAATAGCACAAATATCCCCTCACAAGATAGGGGACGTCGGCTGCTCAATAGACAGGAATGAAAGCAGATTACAAAACTCACAGGTTACATTCCACCACTGTCAAATGCTTGAACTTTCCACTGTTTGAATTTCTTTGCGTGTGTGGGGGGCGGTAGGGCGGGGGTGATGAAGAAGGCTTTGTTTTGGTGATTTCCCTTTTTATATTTCAATGTAGAAGTTACAAATTTTGGATTCCACGCCTTTTTACTGGTTTTCTTTTGGCACAGAAAATGATGCTTGTTACTTTTTTCTACTTTGCATTTACTACTCTCCCTTTTGTCAATCCTGTCAGTAAGACAATTTGCAGAAATGTGAGAGGTTTTGTCAGGTTAGCTGGCTTTGTACGCTTGATTTGGAATCACTCAAGCGATCCATTTTTTTTTTTTTTTTTTTTTTTTTTTTGGAGGGGTGATGTGGAAGTAAAATAAAGAATGAACATAATTAAAAATTTTAATTTGTCAGGTTCAGAAGTTTGACCGGAGCACTGTCTTTATTTAACAGTACTCTGTCCACAGGAATAATTAATTGTATACAAATCAAGAGAGGATTTTCAATGTTTAGTTTTCATGATGTAATTCAGTGATGTTTGTAGACTTTATCTCACTAATATCAGTATCTTCATGTAAAATGTTGAACATTTGCTTTGCTGATCAAAGGTGGTTATCCAAAAATGCAGACCGAACAAAATCTACAGCGGACGTTTACAGCAACCACACCTGAACAAACCATGTGCCAAGGTTACAAAGAGAAGAATATACATAAAAACTTATGTGAGCATCTTTTTCTCTTTTAATATAACTGTATTTGTGGAAAAACATTGTAGCTCCTGAGTAGACCTAATTTCTAAAGTCCCTGTAAAGTACAAATAAATATCTTGTAAATTTGATGCACAATGAAAGTTTTAACTACCCTGCCAAGTTTGAATGCTTTAAAAAAAAAAAAAAAAAGCTCTGTCTACAAAATGAGGCTCAAAATAATTTATGGTCCAGTTCTGCCACAGCACTTGGTGGCAGGGCACGTCACGCGCAGTCGAAGTGTACAATAATTGCGATCTGTCCCATTTCTGTTAAGTTTTTTTGTATTGTAATCATAAGCTACATATTGACACTATATGCCACATATGTGCTGTGGGTGAGTGGCTGCAGTTAAATAGTTATGTCAATAAGATACAAAAATACAATTATTGCCCACCCTTGCTTTAGTTTACATGTCTTCCTATCATTTAAAAAAAAAATCTTTTCTAGAGGTACCACAATTTTTATTCAGTTCAACCACAATTCAGAATCTATGTCTGATTTTCAGAGGTGAATGTTAAGGATATTTTTATGTATTACCTTTGATGTTTTAATGTTATATCAGTGACCATTGTGGGTTTTTCTTTCATTAAGAGGGTTACCAACAATTCTGTATGTGTGTGTGTATTCATTTGGGAGGGATAACTAAGCCTTCCAAGTTTTGATACGCCACACTGCACAATTTGTCAGCTCAACATAACCAAGTAATTAAATGTGGTCCGAACAAATCTATGCTTTGTGACCAAATTTCTAAATGAACATCTGACAAATGCGGGTTGAAATTCATTTTGGTGTATGTTGATATAAACTCACAAGTTTGGCCGGTGAACCATGAGACAATCATGTCAGTCAGATAAACTTTACGCTATGTTTTGTTCTCAGAGATTTCCAATAAATTTTGTGAATGTTGGTATTTCACGCGGCATATGGGAGCGCAACCAGTGTGAGAGATAGTATGAGGTACATACATAGGTAAAAAATGCATAGCTCAATTAAAAAAAAATGCTAAATGGAAGTCCTGATTGGCTGGTAACTCATTGGATATTGATTTTTTTTTAAAAAGTTCTTTCAGAACCCTGTTTATCACACTCACTCAGTCTCAAGCATTCTGCCACACGGAGTACAGGAATGATGGCTCCAGTTTTTTTCCCCTCTCCAAGCATACATACATTAAAACACATTTTAGAACAGCAAATAAAATGGTCTTAATTGGGGCTACACAGATCTCTGATGGGGCTATATATCCCTAGCCACAGTGCAGCCCGATTCCTGGACTACACTATTTTCGGCGTGTTCCACTTTGGTGTTGAATTACAAATCAATGTGGCAATACAAGCACACGAATAATTACATTATTAAGACAAGCTGATTGTCTGGGCACCCTGAGATTTTTTTTATCTAACCTGCATGAGACCGAAAAAGGACCAGCAAATCATTTAGTTTATATGGTAAGTATATTTGTTTCACTTGATTACAGCTTTCAGTTAAAGTTAAGGTCCAGACCTGAATCCGAGAATCTATGGGAAGGTCTTAAAACTGCTCTTCACAAATGCATTACATCTAATCTACCAGAGATAGTAGTTTGCAAGGAACAATGAGCAAAAAAATAAATCAGTCGCTCGTTGTGCAAAACTGACATATCCCAAAAGACTCACAGCTGTCATTGCAGCAAAAGGTGGATCTACAAATTATTAACTTGGAGGAGCCGAATAATTTTTCACACCGCTACTTTATAAAGCTTTTCTTAAAAAATAAATAAATAAAAATACAATATGAATTTTGTTGCACTTAATGATTGTTGATTCTTCACAAAAAATAACATTGTATATCTTTGAATCCTGAAATGTGGCACAAGTTCAAAAATCTATAATCAACAGGCTTGTCTTTCATCTATAACCGCTTAAAACTACAAAGTGTATGTGGGAATGGAAAAAAAAAAGATTTGTTGGTTCGTTATGTGTGTGCTACAGTATTGTTAATTGTCTCGTGTTCTGAAAGTGTTTCCTTACGGTTCAGGGCTCCATCCCGGCACATTTTGAATCTGCAAATTGTGTGTGTGTGTGTGTGTGTGTGTGTGTGTGTGTGTGCGCGCGTGTGCGTGCGTGGGTGTGTGCGTGCGCGTGCGTGCGTGCGCGCGCGTGTGTCAAGACAATGACGTGTGTAAAATATGTACACGTTTGTAAATAACGAGTACCGAGGACTCTGCGGGAGACTTGCACTTGGGGCAGCAGTCTAAAACTCAACATCTAAGGCAAAAAACAAAAAAACAAAAACTAACGCCGCTTAATATGTCAGAAAACAGCAGTCGCTCATGGTGCTGTGATTCTCGAGATGGGTCATGGTCTCGGAATCGAAGGCAATTTTATTCTGTCTCGGACAGGGCGTACTCGGGACTGGCCAGTCGAGACCAGGCCACTACAACTGTGTTCAGTGAGAAACACAGAATGCAGGTGCTGCTCCCAGTGTTGCCTGGAGCGCCACGAGATTATTTTTTTTTTTTGCATTGTACCATTTTATTTTATCTGCAGATGAGAACGTCAAACAAACAAGCAACAAGTCACAAACAAACAAAATACATTATTTATCGCGAAAAATAATTTCTTTGGCAATTACCGGTATGTTGATTGTGGTTTTAGCAGGCAACACGGTTTGCACAGCACAAGTCAGTGCCTCCTAAACCGCTTTTTAAGTGTCTTATTGTCTGTGCTACTCCTGCATTTATTATGAAAGGAGTCATTTTGGACTTCTCCATCCACCTTTGCCATTAAGTCAGTCAAGGGTCATGTAAACGAGCTTGATTCAAGCTATAAGTTTCACATTAAACGTTATAACGTTTAATATAGGTTTCCAATGTTGAACAACTGTATTTATTTTTTCTAAAAGTCTCATTTCTGATTGGTAAATATAAAATATTTATTTAAGATATTTAAAAAATGAGCACGCAACAAGTTGAACCAACAATTCTGAGCCCAAGGGTTATCTATTGAAAAAGTGATTGGGTGGGGCTGAATTGAAGTACATTTTACGTGAACGGCTGCAAATGATGAAAGACAGCATAAGATATCGCGAGACACGTGACGTCATACTCTGTGTCGACCGCCCCGAGGTTTGGACTGGTATCTGGAAACAACCTCTACCGACCTTCCTTTCATTCCTGTAATCCGTCTGCGTTGGGTGTGCTCCGTAGCTAGCCACGGCACACATTTTATTATTATGAAACAAACCAAAAGCTAGAGCGCACACGCAGACATATTTTTATAAGAAAAAAAATCGGTGAAGCAGGATTTCATTTGCCAACTCAAGCAACGCGAAGAGTAAGAAGAACCTTAGACGGACGCTGACAAGCTAACGTGAAGATCTAACCGCCATTATTGAAAGCGTGCGTGGTAATTCAGTAGCTGTGTCGACCACGTTTCTAGCAACGCTCTTAGTCGTTGTTGTTAATAGTAACAAAGTGGTTTCGTGAGTTTACGGACCATTTCGTTCGGCCTGTGAACGACACGCAAAGTAATTAGTCCCACGAGCCGCATCGGTTAGGCCACGCTCCGATAGCTTGCTAATCAGGCTAGCTAGCCCACGTTGCCACCTCTGGGAGGTAACGTACGGAACAACTCGTCTGGGCGCCCAGTCGTTTACGACGGGATAAAGAAGATTACCGCTTCACATTGAAGACGGGCCATTTTCGACCTTTCATAGAGCGTCAATTGCCATTACGTGTGGTGTGTGAGCACGCGTCGTCATCATGAACCCGAGCGCTCCTAGCTATCCCATGGCCTCCCTCTATGTGGGGGACCTGCATCCAGACGTAACCGAGGCCATGCTGTACGAGAAATTTAGCCCGGCTGGGCCTATCTTGTCTATCAGAGTGTGCAGGGACATGATCACCCGTCGATCACTCGGTTACGCCTATGTGAACTTTCAACAGCCCGCTGACGGTGAGTCTGACAACGTTTGTCAAAAGCGAGTGAGTAATAGTTGACTCCATTTTGAAATGTAAAATAGCTAAACGTTCGTGTTGTGTTTGAATCATGTTTGTCGCTGTTCTGTATCGGAACGCATTACCCTCAATTACTCATTGTACGCTGCCGCGTTCATTGTATACTGATTGTACGCGTGAAATCTTTTCAGCCGAGAGAGCCCTGGACACCATGAATTTTGACGTGATCAAAGGCAGGCCACTTCGCATCATGTGGTCTCAACGAGATCCCTCGCTGAGGAAGAGCGGAGTGGGCAACATTTTCATCAAGAACCTGGACAAGTCCATAGATAACAAGGCCCTCTATGATACCTTTTCAGCATTCGGAAATATCCTGTCCTGTAAGGTAGGCGGAACAGCGTTTGTCTTGGGCACGGGTTGGTCTGTGGTTTGAAGGTTTTGCATACTCACCACTACATTGCATGACATAGAATCCACAGCCAAAACCCCTTGTTTGTCAAATGTATTTTCAATGCATGGTGTTTGTGATTGTTACTGAAGTGCTCAATGTTCCCTCTCCAAGGTGGTTTGTGATGAAAATGGCTCAAAGGGTTACGGCTTTGTGCACTTTGAGACCCACGAGGCTGCTGAGCGGGCCATTGAGAAAATGAATGGCATGTTGCTCAATGACAGAAAAGTGTAAGTGGGATTATAATTGACATGTTAAGTGTTTTACTAATCCTTTAGTCATGAATGATAGTAAATGAAACGAAAGTATCAGAATCTGAGTGTGTTTAATCATTAACAAAATGTATCTTTTGTTTAAATGTGCAGAGCATGAAGTTGGTTGCTGTGAGGCAAAAAATGCAATATACAAAACTTTGATATTCAAATCAAGTCAATTCCTTGACACCCCCTCCCCCCCTGGCCGCTTAAGTGATGCAAATTTATTTATTAGGTCATTTATTCACATACTAACAGAAGTATCAATAAACCTTTGACTATAAAATTAATTAGCGACAGAGGAATGTAATGAACCCAATACCAAAACATGTCCGTTTTTGTCTTTTTTTTATTTATTTACGTGGGTGGACGTCCCATTTTTTGGACAATCTATTAATGTAAAAATTGAAAATAAATTACACAAATGGACCTAGTGTTTTTACAGGACAGCGACCATTTGCTTTGTCACCTATAAAGAACTTTTCACATAGCATTTCACAGTCGCGCGGTAACATGAAATGAATACAGTGGCCCGACTGTCAGTGTGCCCATATTTGGAAGTACTGATGCAGCAGCTTGTCAGGACTTAAAGAAAATGGAGATTTTGCCGATTGTTAGACTGCACATTGACAAGATGTTTGGTTTATCGTTGCAAAAGAAAGCCATTACTTTGCTCGTTTTGAAGAGGAGAGAAGCAGCAAACAACTGATGGCCCTGCGGGAACTTGAATAGTTAAATGATGCTGTTGCCTGTAAATAAGTCAGCCAAAATAACACTGAATCACTGTCAGCTCCTCTCGGATTGGAGCCCATTGAATGATGTCATGTCGCTGCTCTCGAATAGAACATTTTTATTTCGAGGTGCCATGCCATCGCGGCTGAAGTCCTCTTGTCATTCCGCTCCCTGCTGCAACACTCAATTCTGTGGTCCCCGCCCTTCACCACACGCACGCACACACTGGGTTTGATGACTGTGTGCTGCGCCCTGCTAAATGCAGAATGAAAAGGGCTTACCCAAGGCTGATTATGTGGGATGTTTCAAATATCTAAAATTGCAGAACACAGGTTAACCTACATTGGGTTGATTTTGACATGTTTATTAAAACGACAACCTTTCAAAGTGCATGTTTTATGACAACCCTCTGTTGTATAAATTAACACCCCAGATCAACAGAGGAAAATGGTAAGGTGTAATAATTCACTCTATAGCATTCAGTCAAACTGTAATCCAGACATGATATGGTTTGCTAATGTTTTTCTTTTTCTGGCCCATAGATTTGTTGGGCGCTTCAAGTCACGCAAAGAGAGGGAAGCAGAGCTTGGGGCCCGTGCAAGAGAATTCACCAATGTTTATATAAAAAATTTTGGGGAAGATATGGATGACGAAAAGCTCAAGGAGTTGTTTGGAAAATATGGTAAGTATTTAAAACACCATTCAACCTATTTTAATAAGACCCAAAACAACTTGCTTGTACGTAGGCATAGGTCTCCAATGCACCATCTTAAAACTCGTGCATCCGCAGGTTGGGGCGTGCCTCTGTTTTAGCCGCTAAATAGTTGGCTTTGTACACCAACATTAGTCTAGATGTGTCTGATCGACTTTAATGTGCATGAACTAATAGCCTGCTTGGACAAAAGGCAAAATGTCAGTTCTACGACAACAAGAGAGGATCACTTGGGATTGATTCAGTTGAACGAGAATGTTCACAGGCATAATTAACGTGTTTTCTGCCTCGTTCGGCCAATGTTTTCTTTAACCATTTGTATTTTTTTTAGGACCAGCACTCAGTATCCGTGTTATGACAGATGAAAGTGGAAAGTCCAAGGGATTTGGCTTCGTTAGCTTTGAGAGACATGAAGATGCACAAAAGGTAGGAAGGCATAAAGTGCAAATGTGGTAAATTTGCCAATGTTGTTTAATATGATAGCAGGTGATTTTATTTTTTTAATTAGACAGTATCTCTTTGTAGGCTGTGGATGATATGAACGGGAAAGAACTGAATGGCAGACAAGTTTATGTTGGGCGTGCACAGAAAAAGGGTGAGCGCCAGAATGAGCTCAAGCGCAAATTTGAGCAGATGAAACAGGACCGCATGACCAGATACCAGGTTCGTTTTAAAGGAAAATGTTTTCGTTGCTTCCTTCAAACTTACAATTGTTTATTCTGAAATGTTTGAAATACCACTTTTTAAAAAACAGTCATTGGATGCAGTAACTGAAAATTCAGACTCAAAACTAACTTTTGATCTCTGTTTCTCAGGGTGTCAACCTGTATGTGAAAAACTTGGATGATGGCCTTGATGATGAGCGGCTACGCAAGGAATTCTCTCCATTTGGAACAATAACAAGTGCTAAAGTATGGACCAGGGGTTAACCCCCACGCCGTTTTTCTCCCACTCTCTTTAAAACGAACAGCTAATGTTGAAGTTGATGCTGTCACAGCATTTAACTTGAGTTTCTTCTTCCCCAGGTTATGATGGAGGGTGGCCGCAGCAAAGGCTTTGGCTTTGTGTGCTTTTCTTCTCCAGAAGAGGCCACCAAAGCTGTGACAGAGATGAATGGACGTATAGTTGCCACTAAGCCGTTGTATGTTGCCCTGGCTCAACGCAAAGAAGAGCGTCAGGCCCATCTAACCAACCAGTACATGCAGAGGATGGCCACTGTCCGGGCCGTGCCCAACCCTGTTCTCAACCCGTACCAAGCAGGTCCACCCTCTGGCTACTTTATGGCAGCCATCCCTCAGGTGAGTCATGCATTTTGGAGTAGTAATATTTTTGTATGTGGTATGGCCGATTGTCTCCTAATAGTTGGGAACTAGCAGTTTTTAAATTAGGTAGTCATATATTTGCATTTGTCCTTAGGCCCAAAACCGTGCAGCATATTACTCTGCCAACCAGCTGGCCCAGCTGCGTCCCAGCCCTCGATGGGCCACTCAGGCAGTGCGTCCACAGCGTAAGTAACCAATTGCATTGTTGAGACATTTATTTTTGTTTGTGTTGGTAAGCTCTAACATGGCTTATTCCTCCAGACTTCCAGAACATGCCCAATGCGATGCGGCCTTCAGCTCCCAGGCCCCAGACTTTCAGCACCATCCGTCCCGCTGCCACCACCAACACCCAGGTCCCACGCATGATGGCCTCTCAGCGAATGCGTGAGTGCAACTGGTGTCTTCACTTTAGTTTCTCTTTGTGAAAGTACCCATAATTGGTTTGTCGCATTGCAGCCACCCAGGCCCTCAGCCAGCGCCCTGCCAGTGCTTCAGCCACTGCTGCCCCAGTGCGTGCAATGCCACACTACAAATATGCCGCCGGTGTCCGCAATCCTCAGCAACATATGGCCTCCCAGCCACAAGTCACCATGCAGCAGGTTCATTGATTAATTTTCTTTCAGTTCGGCATAAATGCAGCGCTTTAATTCATATAAAATATTTTATCTGTTTATCTCTCAGTATGATTTGAAAAGTTGAATAAATGTACTAGATTGATGATGAAAAAGAGCCTGGTGCAATGGCAGATTATTCTAATTTTGTTTTTTTAGCCTGCTGTCCATGTCCAAGGACAGGAGCCTCTGACTGCCTCCATGCTGGCTGCTGCCCCCCCTCAGGAACAGAAGCAGATGCTGGGTCAGTATTTTACCAGCGCATTTTGAAACAAATACATATACCAAAAACATCTTACTAAAGATTGCACTTGTTGTTGTTCGTTTAGGTGAGCGACTGTTCCCCCTGATTCAGAACATGCATCCCAGTCTGGCTGGCAAGATCACTGGCATGCTGCTGGAGATTGACAATTCTGAGCTTCTTCACATGCTTGAATCGCCTGAATCCTTGCGCTCAAAGGTCGGTAACTGCGCCCAACCTTAATTGCAGACATATTCAATTTTTTCCCCCGCTCTGCTCTGCGGTGATTTATCACCATGTTGCGCAGTGGTTCATTTGGTATTGTTTTGATTTAGGTGGATGAAGCCGTTGCCGTACTCCAGGCCCACCAGGCCAAAGAGGCTGCTCAAAAGTCCACCACTCCTGCTGGTGTTCCCAGTGTCTAAGGTGTGTGAGGAGTCTCAATCTGGTTTGACCACAATGGCCAAGTGTTCTGAATATGTAACCATTGGTTTTATATTTTTCTCCCCAGCTTGAGCATTTTGAAACCTGCTTCACCGATGGAAAAAGAGAAAAAAACTTAAACATTGAAAAACCTAAAACACTGAAAACATTGCAAAATGATAAATTTTTTCTGAAAAAAAAAAGAAAACCATTTACTCTGCCAGGTCTAGGGATGGTTTGACTAGACCTTGATCATATACAAAAAAGTTTTTGAAAAAAAAAAGCAAAATAGCTAAAATTGAATTAAATTTGAACCATTCCTCTGTTTTATGTCATTTTACTGTTTTGATGCTCAGAATATCAGCCATGGTATGGGATGGAGGTACCAGAGCATTTTTGAAAGTTTATAGTTAACTACTGGCTAATAAATTCTCATTCAATTTGTGTCTGTTCTTTTTGTCCCAATTTAAATACTCTTTGACACCACGTGTTACGGCAAAGTTTAAACGTACATGAGTGAGTATGGAATGAGTAAGTATTACAGTACAGTGTCTGCAAAGTTTCTGTACTGTTATGTCGGTTGACTGTAAAATCATGGTACAAAGTGCTATTTGGTACATTGGCAATAACATTCTATTAGCACAACGAAAAAGGCATTGCAAGACAGAGCTGTTCCTAATATTTTTACTTTGTATAAATATCTTGGATTAGGAGCAGAGTTTAGTGTTGTAAACTACAATTTTAATATTGAGCTGAGTGCGTTTGGCAGTGTCAATCAAAATACTGCATATCACTCTGAATGTGTTCAAAGTTGTGGGTGCTCTGTATGTACATACTTGGAGGTGAGTAAAATGTTTGTAGCATAAATGTGCGAACCAGATTTCTTGGAGCTGTAAGGGCAACATTGACAAAGCCGTGATGATTGCATGCGCCTCCAATGTGCCCACCTTGGGTCAGGCCATCAACTTTTTACCACCCGACTCCGTTACTACTACGATAAACAAGGACATGCCAAATAAGTATGGAATGACATTTCGTAATGTAGGGGTACCGTTGTGCGGTTGCACCACCCAATGACAGGTGTGAGACAATGTGCGTATCAAGTAGAGCTAAAGTGATCAGTGGTAGAATACAATACTATAACAGTTGTGCAGTTGGTGCAAATAATCGTTGCATCATTTTAAAGTGACCAATACCAGTGTTTGTAGAGCCAAGTTTAAGTGTGCAATTGTACAGAAGTAGCTTTATAGTTAGATTTACTGATACTTCAGATCCAAATATGGATTTATTTTCTCCAAACAAGCACCAAAACTAGCAACTTTAAGGTCAAAAGTAGTGCAATATGAGTGAGGCGTTTCTCAAATAATCCCTCCAACAAGCATTGATCAACCTACAATGTGCATTTTCCATGACAAACGCCCCCACACCCTCCAAAAAAGTTAAATTAATTAATAATAAATTAATAAAAACCAGAGACAAAATGATATTAAGTAGGGGGAAAAAATCCATGAATAGGTGGATCTGCGGGTGCTGAACCGCGAGCGAGTAAGCGGAGGCCACTGTTGTACTTTGCACCCACCACACACACATGCCTGTTCCTGCCCGAGAACACTCAGTGTGTGTGTCACAAACTTTTGCTGTGTTCACTACTGTAATGGGACAAAATCAGAAAATATATTTCGTACATATATTAGTACGGTATGTATGTGTCATGACACCGTTTATTGTATTAAATGTGAAGTTTGATGCGTACATGAATTTTTCTTAACGCGAATTTAATTCCCTGCTAGGGCTGAAATGCATGTATGATGCAATGCAGGTCTACATCTGCAAATTAATCTCTCCGTGTGCAAAATTTTAATCTGCGCCTGTTAGTACATTTAGAAAGGTCACTCTTAGCTGTCGTTGGGTTGTGTTCGTGTACTGTTCCGCATGAAGTGGCTAGTGAGTGGACCTTTTTGTCCACCCCGTACTCACTCAAACTCTCGCGATGTGATTTGAATTGGAGAGTGACAACAGTTTGAGCCTCTTCTGTTCGCTGACCGCCTCAAGCTCGTGACGTGATCTTGGACAGGAAAACAGTGCTAGCGGCAGAAGTACTTTGCCGTGCTGCATCAGGATGGCGGCATTTTTGTTTTAGTAGTATTATCGTTTTTGCGAAAAGCGTTTCCTTCCTTCTCCGTCATTGTCCGGGGGAAAAACGAATGACAGCAGACGGTATGTTCTCTCTTTACGCTAGCCTTGCTAGCTTGATGCACGTTCGTGGTTGGCAACCTTGGCTTTAAACTCGGATTTAGGTCTTGAGTAAGCCAGGCACAACTATAAATACAATTTTATAGTTAGTTGCCTTATCCGATAAATGTGTACATTATCCCCAACTATTTAACAATAAAAATCAAATTGTGTGGCTTGTTATCATACCATAAACCTTATAGGAGAACCCCAAGCCCGTGAACAGTTTAGCACCATCGATAATTTGCTTATTCTGAGCCCTACATTATGACAGCTACCCACTATTAACTATAAATGTTGGGCGGTGCAGTGTTCTCAATTCGAAATTCTAGCAATGTGCTAAACCAGCTCTGCAGCAGCGGTACCTTTTGGTTTTCAACTACGCCCATTAAAACTGCTGCCACATGAGAGAGTGAGTGACAAGTAATGACATCGGAGGGACTGTGGATTCCCAGTCGTAATGAAAATGACATTTAGCGTGTGTTCTTCGTGGTGTGTATCATGTAGCATGGCCTAACAAGGATGGTTGCCCACTCACAAACCAGACATAAATATATGCGTGTGTGTGTGTGTGTGTGTGTGTGTGTGTGTGTGTGTGTACTATACACACGCACACGTTCATATATGCATGCATAGTGTGTGCGTGTGTATTTATCAGGGCCTGTCAACGCCCTCCCATCATTTGGTTGGACTACTGCAAACACAGCTGCAAGGTTCGATTGTGTTGGCCAGATCAACGTAATGGGGTTGTCGTGATCCACATAATAGATGTCATCCCCAATGAATCTTGGGTGATTATGGATTTGAATGCACTTGCCTTTTTAAAAATGACTGTAATACAAAAAAGTAGTTTTGGCGCCACCCTTTAAAATAACTTTGCCACCGCTGTCACCATCAAGGAAATGGACATACTTATGAGCAGCCTAGATGAGTCATAGTGAAATTAGATTTGACAAAATTGTCACAATCTTAGCATTGTAAGCAATTGGCTATCTTTGTAAACAGACCGTGTCCTGCCAGATCAATATATTTTTTTAATCCACTATGACAACTGTGAACAAACACAATGAACAAACACCATTATTATTGTTATTGTTGTTGGCGGTGTTGGTGCATGGTCACGTGAGAACTTGGACTACCTCGTCATCACCTCAGGAAAGATGCATATGTGTTGTCTAAAAGAATGCACTTTAAAATGTATTCACGCTGGGACCCGGTTTGAAAAAAAAAGATTAGTTTTGGGCTCCCAAAATGCTAGTTCGATGTGGTCGAAACTTTTGTGGATACACTTAAACACATTCCAGCATGGACAGGGTTTTAGAGTGATGTGCTAGCAAAATGACTAGATCAGTGGCAACTGCAGTCTCTCCTTCTAGCTTCTTTCTATTGAAAATAATATTCTGTCGTCTGCTACATTTTTATATTGTAAGACAAAGTAGTATTCAGTCACCTCTCTACATACCAATCCAAAACTTTATTATTATGCGTCACTATACTGTCCCTAGTCACAAAGAAGCCACAGAATGTGCATGGAGGCAACATTACACAGAGGACAGGCAGGCCAGGAATGCAGCCAGTCATAATGTCTGGCTAACTCCACTGGCTCAGCTGCTGTGTCTCCCTCTGTTCACATTTGTCCGTCTTCAAAGCTGTCATCGCTGTTGCATTATAAATGAAAAGTCTATCGTCTGTTTAAATGGCCGGTTTTGTTTATGGAAATAGGTAAGACTATGATACAGTGTTTGAAAACCTTTTCTAAACGAAATTTAAACTCAAATCTTTTAAAGGCAAAATTAAAACATACATTTTCCTGGTATTACTTTTTTGAATATACCTTTTGTATCCATGATAGTTCACTTTTTTCCCTAATTGCCTTTCTTTTTCTCTGTACTTTATGATAAATTCTTTTCCACAACAGCAAGGTGGGTGAGTGCTTAGCACATCTACGACACATTTTTTGAGGTTGGGGATTCGAATACACACTCTGGCCTTCCTGTGTGAAGTTTGCACAATCCATGCAAGCACAGGGGGAACCCCCTGTGCTTGCAAGGGTTTCTTTCTGGGTACTCCGGCTTCCTCTATTCTGAAAATATGCATTTTTGATTCGTGGAAGACTAGATTGTCCGTCACTGTGAATGGTTGTGTGCATATGTTCCATTATTCCAATCAAGATCCTTGAAAATCAATTAAAAAATTGTCATAATTCTTCATTTTTTTGAAGCTTTGATTTTCTCTCAAAACTACCACATTCACCTTCCACTAATTCCACTGATGTCTCTCATGCATGATGACACACATGTGCAGCAGTGGTAATCTGGGGTTGGCCGTGATGTAATCGGAAAAGCAGTAAAGCCCTAAAGTTTAGCATTTCAACAAAAATACTAAAGTGGAATGCAATGTCAAACCTGCTTGACAAAATGTGCCTTTCATGGCAGTGTGAAAGTGACCCAGAAGCTTCTAAAAAATTAGCCATCTTGTGGCTGATTCAATTCCTTACGAAAATATAGACATCTCCCTAAGCTATTTGGCTCGTTAGCAATGCGCAAGTTGCGGCATAAGTAAGACGCCAAAACAGCCTTCAATTGCTATTATTGTTGCATATTCCTATTTACCATCTTACTCGTTTAATTTCTCCTTGTCCTTTCAAGTTATATTTGAAGTTGAGCTTTCAAGGATTCAAAGAATTTTTCTTTCCTCAAAATTCAAGGATACATAGTTTTTTGTTTTTTGTCGTACAACGGCCATTTCCACATGACGTAACACGAAATACAATCCTCGAGATCCCTTGTTGGCTCATTAAGTCCCAAGACTTGTGAAAATAACATAAGATAAAATGCACCTGATAGAAATAAGGGCAATGCTTATTGAAGGCTTCAGTGTATGCACAGATGCAATGCATCAAAGGTATGGACGCACCAGAATGAAACTGCAAGAGGTCTGATAGGCATGATATTTACAAGGTCATTTTGGACTTGACAAAAAGAATCAAATGTTCAAGAATAAAATTTTCAATGTGCAAGGGTGAATGGACGTCAGGGTATGATGATAGTTTTGAGTCGTTGGGTTTCATGAGTTGAATAAATACGTTTTGAAATCAATGAATGATCAGTTTGATTTCGATATTATGTATATTTATGGTTTAAATTATTAATATAGGATTGGGGATTACTGTTAAGTATGTTGGGATCAAAGTTTGTCATCTGACTATCGCGACCCAAACATTTTCTGACCTGCTTATTTTTCATTCGGGACATGGGTGTGCTCAAGCCTATCCTAGTCGAGGCGGTGTTCACCCTGAACCGGTCCGACAGCCAATGATAGACTGCTAATATAGGCAGTTTTTAGGATGAGGCTCAATTACTCGTTATTTTTTCCCGAGGGCCCCAGTACGTGCTGCCGTGAACATGGGTGTTTATTGTAATATATTAATATAGTTCTCTCCCTGACTCCACTTGTACTATCCTTTTCTCTTGCTAGGTTCTGCTGCATCTTTTTCTGACCAAGTGACCACTTTTACACAGTCATCCAACTATTAGATGTGCCATCGATGTTAATCAGGAGAAGCCACCATGTCTTGAGTACAGAAGGGCCCACTAGAGGCCTCTACCCCCACCATGGACCAACTTCCCCCTCCACCATCCATCACCTCAGCCCTACTGCTGGCCCCGCTCTAGTCCCTAATCTCCCTGCACATGTGAGGAACAGGCTTCCCTGCCCTGGCTCCGCACTGGGCCACCCCTCTGGTCCTCCCGGAGAGATGAGCCTGCCCAAGCACCATCAGTTTGGTAGTGGCAAAGGCGGAGTAATGGGCTCTGACAGGGATCTGCAATCCACTGCCTCCTCCATTTCGCTGTCCTCTGTGAAGAAAGCTCCCAAGAAAAGGCGCCTGTCCCTGGCTTCTCTTTTTAGGTGGCGAGGACGGGAGGCCAAATCAGTTCGCCAAAAGTCTCGTGACCTGCCAAACCCTGCTCCAGGTGGGCTTACAGGAGTGGACAGTATTGCTAGCGTTGAGAGCATCCACTCCGAGATGTGCTATGAAAAAACCTCTGCCTTCTTCACTGTGACTGGGACAGAGGCTCCCTCTGCTGCTTTTGTTGCTGCCTCCACCTCGTCTGCCTCGGGACCTTGTGTATCGGCCTCCACCCCCTCTTCTGCCAAGCTGGGTAGTGGAGTTGGGGTGGAGTGTTTGGAATGCCCTCTGTGCCTTCTGCACCACCCTAAGGAGAGTTTCCCTGACATCATGACTTGTCACCACCGGTCTTGCATTGACTGCCTACGGCAGTATTTAAGCATTGAAATCTCAGAGTCGCGTGTCAACATTAGCTGCCCCGAGTGCTCAGAGCGTTTCAATCCATATGACATCTGCATGATTCTTGGTGACCGGAGTCTGATGGAGAAATATGAAGAATTCATGCTCAGAAGGTGGTTGGTGGCTGACCCTGACTGCCGGTGGTGTCCAGCGCCCGACTGTGGGTAAGCTTTTTGTTTTGTATTTTTTAACTGATGTAGCGATGCATCTCACATTGATTTTGAGAATTGTCTAATTGCTCCATTCTTATCAATTTATCAATGAATTGATGAAAAAAAATAGAAATGCACTGAAATGAAGAAACCAAGTCTGAAAACTGAAATTCCAAAAAGAAATTATGCCTTAAAAACCCCACCTTTCCGCATCTGAGTTTTTGCACTTTTGTACATATGTGTGTAAAACTTAAAAATGGAATTGATTTAAATCAAACCAGCATAAGGCAGATCTTTTCGAGATCTTTTTAATGCCAGTCCCTATATAATGCCTTTGAACATTGTGATGATTGCTCTACATATTTATAATAGGTGTCATGCATAGAAAAAAAATAAGCGACGAAAAGAATGCACAACGCTGAAACTTCAAAGGTTTTTGCTTGTGTCATCACAATATTCTGTGTTTAGTTTTACCGTAAACTGCAACTAGGGTGTCATTAAATAAGGGGGTTTGAGGACGGCAGAATCACATACGCTACATGCTTGCTACGCGAGCACAATGGTGCATTCAGGGTACGTTCACATCGAGGACTTGCAAACACACCGCGTCGTTCTGCACACCAATCGTTTTTCTTCAATTATAATGAGCGAGAAGTCAAAATTAATTGTCCAGCCCTCGTGCGAGGGTGAAAGAAGTGAAACTCCGGAGACTTACATATTAACACGAAACGGGGCGAAGAGCCGCACCCAGCTCGTGAGCTGCCGGTTGGCCAGGCCTGGACCAGACCATTGGGGAATATAAAAAAGTGTTTGCCTTCAGTCCCCAAGTACACTGTGACATTGTGTGAGCGTTTGATTTCTTCGCAGCCCCTCTGTATTTAAAAAAAATTATAATAATTAAATACTAATTCTTCCATCATGGCTAAATGAAATGGTCACACAATACATTATGTAATACAAACTATGACTGCGGCCACTGTGGCTACCTTGTTATATAACCTTTGTCAATTTCTATACTTATAATTCTTATCTTATCTTGTACTGTGTACGTGTACTCAGTCATGTCCCTGTATGTGAGCTGTGTGGGGTTTTTTTTTCTTTTTTTCCCCCTTAGGTATGCAGTTATTGCCTTTGGTTGTGCTAGCTGCCCTAAAATCACATGTGGGAGGGAGAGTTGTGGTACAGAGTTCTGTTATCTTTGCAAGCAGCTGTGGCACCCCAACCAAACCTGCGACGCAGCACGACAGCAGAGAGCCCAAAGCCTTCGCCTGAGGACAGTTCGCTCATCATCCCTCAGCTCCAGCCAAGACAGTGGAGCCACAGGTTAATTGACTCACCGCACACAAAAACTTGTAAAGCTGTATGGCGTCATGACACTAATATGTTAAGAATGGTGGCATTCCAAATCCTTGCTGAAAAGGCATGACATTGACATACAATGTAACCTTCATGGTCGGCCTCCGTCTGTTCTGGGATGCTGCTTGGCTCTTGAGGCATTTGCGAAAGTCTTGTGCAGTATGCTGACAAGACATGACACATCTTGAGGTTTTGACTTTTAAGATGTATATTATTGGTCCGTTTTCAAAGCATGTAAGCTTTTGAACATTGAAGTGTTGACGCCTCACTGAAATAAACCTTGACGTTTGATTGCAGGTATCATCTGTGTATTAGGCAAAAATGTTGTGATTGTTTTTATTTCTCTTTGGTTCTGTCCTGCCCACAGCCGATGACATCAAGCCATGCCCACGCTGTGCCGCTTATATCATTAAAATGAATGATGGCAGCTGTAACCACATGACTTGTGCTGTCTGCGGCTGTGAGTTCTGCTGGCTTTGTATGAAAGAGATCTCAGACCTACATTACTTGAGGTTAGTGACTGCATGCTGTGTGCCACAGACACTGTATTAATTATGAATGAACATGGTAGAGCTATGCGGTATTACAGTATATATCGTAGTGCGATATAAAAATGTCTACCATACGATATACTGAAACTGCGACACCAGGGAGTGTCCAAACTCGGTCCTCAAGGGCCAATGTCCTGTCTGTTTTTCATCTCTCCCTGCTGAAACACACCAGATTCAAAAGATCAGCTCATCGGCAAACTCTGAAGAAGCAAGTTGACGTTCTTGAATGTCACAGTTGGATTATGCGTAGGTTGATTAGTCATGTCTATAGAGTGGGGTGCAGGAATTACTTGCTGTCCAGAGCTGGCTGTTATGTTTGGCTGGTAGAGTGTGAGCCTTGTAAAAAATGGAGGCTTTGGAGTTGAAATGCAACCCAAGAGATTTCATGTCTGTAGGGGTGTGGGGAGGAGGGCCTGAGAATGGGGCTGCAGCCAGACCCTTCTCAAAGTGTGCTGATTATCTTTCCATCCATGTTCTGGATGAATGGAAAGATAATCAGATTATCTTTGTGTTGAATCAAAATAAAACATTTGCTTTTACTTTGGGAACAATGATCAACATTTTTGCCTCTTGACTGACATGTTACTTACCAAACCAGTAACTGAGTCCTGATTGATTATTTGTGCATTTTCTGCACTACCACTTTTTGACCTCAACCAAAGAAACCCCGGCCAAAAAGTCATTTTCAATGAGATAAAATGCAAGCAACAAAGTTGCGATTTTATTAAAAGGAAGAAATGCCATTTTTGGCCCAGTTTGAAATTTCAAATACCTACACCAACCAATAGCAAAGTATTTATGAATGACATGGAAAGGGTGAACTTCTCCATCTACCATTTTCCCAGTCCGTCAGGTTGTACCTTTTGGGGGAAGAAACCATGGAGTAGAAAGAAGAAGATTCTTTGGCAATTGGGAACACTGGTTGGTGCCCCTGTTGGCATTGCACTGATCGCCGGCATAGCTATCCCTGCCATGGTTATTGGCATCCCCATCTATGTAGGAAGAAAGGTAAGGTTACAAACAATCACATCAACTAATTTGGATGGTTAATTTGCTTACTTGGTGGCATTACTGTCAGGCTTCTTCTTTCACACAGTGTACACGTAAATAAGGGGGCACTCAAGGCAGAAATATATACAGTCAAACCTCGGTTTTCGAACATCTCTGTTCTTGACCAAATCGGTTTTCGACCAAAAATTTTGAGTTTTTTATGCCTCGGATCACGACCAAATTTCGGTTCTCCAACAAACTGAGCGCACTTGAATGCGTCACTAGACTCCTCTCGCCTGCCTTACACGAGGAAGTGACGCTTCCTCGTTTAGTGTTCCATGGTGAACAGACGTGTTCAATAAAGATTTTTTTTTTTTTTAGAAAGAGCGTGGTTTCGGTTTTCGAACAGCCTTCTGGAACGGATTATGGTCGAAAACCGATGGACCGCGTTTCAGCCCTAATTCAGTTTTTCTTTTGTAATTTGGGACGCTGGCATAATTGATGCACATATAATTATCACATTGCATTCTGTCAGAGAAAGTGACAGCTATTCTTAATTTCCTGCAGATTCACAATCGCTATGAAGGTAAAGATATCTCCAAAGACAAGAGGGCTCTTGTGATTGCAGGTGGCGTGACGCTGTCTGTCATTGTGTCTCCACTGGTTGCAGCAGTCACTGTTGGTCAGTTGACGCTTCTGTTTCTTACATCTTGTGCCTGAAATGAGTCATGCCATTAGCTATTCCTTGTTTCACTTTGCTCGGTCACTTACATTTCTCTTCTATTGCTTCATCATGGCAGAAGACAAAGGAGATGTAATTAATTGATTTTAAAACCACCATGTTTTTGATTCAGTGTTAACACTGGTTTCTCCATTGTTTTTCAGGCATTGGAGTTCCCATAATGCTTGCATATGTTTACGGTGTGGTGCCCATCTCTTTGTGCCGGAGTGGGGGCTGTGGCGTGTCTACAGGCAATGGAAAAGGTGTTCGGATAGAATTTGATGATGACAATGACATGAATGTCGCCACTGGGACAGCAGCCACTGGTAAGCCCTTTTGTCTGACCACCAGTGACAGTCCCAAGTAACCTGCAAACCATAAGTGCACTTTACTCAACTCAACTGTATTTATAGAGCACTTTAAAACAACCACCGCTGGATACAAAGTGCTGTACATGGAGCAAAAAGAAGTCCTACAACAACAAATAATATAAGACAACAAATTAATAACGAAGACGGTAGAATGCGCAAAATCGATAAAATAAACAATAAAGTCTCATGCTGAGTCAAAAGCCAAAGAATAAAAATGGGTTTAAAGACGAGCTTTAAAGACGGGCAGCGAGGGGGCTTGCCGAACGTTCAGCGGGAGGTCATTCCAAAGAGAGGGACCAGCGACGGAAAAGGCTCGATCCCCTCTGAGCCTCCGCTTAGTTTTTTCATGATTTTATCATTTGTAGATTCCACGTCTGTGGCAGACACTCGAAACAATCCCAGTATCAGCGAAGGCAGTGTTGGGGGTCTGACAGGCAGTTTGAGTGCCAGTGGCAGCCAAATGGACAGGCTTGGGGCTATGAAGGACACCCTCAGTGAGACAGCATCCACTACAGCCCTTGCCGGAGCAAGCATCACTGGCAGCCTCTCCGGCAGCGCCATGGTCCACTACCTAAGCAGGTACAGAGGCGGTGACGCATGCAGTAGGCTTTCCATGTTGACATTAGTGCCATGTCAAAACAACTCTCTCACAGGTTGGAAGTGCAAGCTGATGTGCAAAAGGACCATTGCAGTCTCAGCGGTGAATCTGGTACTGTCAGCCTTGGTGTCATCAGCGACAATACGAGCACGAAAGCCATGGCTGGATCTATTATTAATGCTCACATTCCCCTTGACAGGTATGAAGTACAAATACATATACAGTCAAACCTCTTTTCAACGTACCCCGTTTACGTTTCGACCCCTATAACGTTCACATTTCAAATTTCCGATTACATGTAATTCATTTTTCAGTTGCCGATTTTTGCTTACAACGAACACCTTTTCCCACAAAATAGTGAAAAGACCTGAGAGAGCACGAGAGTGAGACAATGCATTTATGTTTGTATATGTGGGCGGCACGGTGAACGACTGGTTAGCACGTCCGCCTCACAGTACAGAGATCATGGATTTGATTATGGACCCCAGCCTTCCTGTGTTGAGTTTGCGTGTTCTCCCCGTGCCTAATCCGGTTTCCTCCCACATTCCAAAAACATGCAAGGTAGAATAATTAATCACTCGAAATAGTCTTTAGGTGTGATTTTGAGTGTGAATGGTAGTTTGTCTGTGTGTGCCCTGCGGTTGGCTGGCAGCCAGTTCAGGGTGTACGCTGCCTACTGCCCGAAGTCAGCTGGGGTCGACTCCTCTTGTCTTGTCACTCCTCCCTGTCCTTTTTCTTAGAGATGCGACCAGTATGGAAGTCCAGGTGGATATTGAATCCAAGCCTGCCAAGCTACGCAACCACAGTGGCAGCAGCAGCATGGATGACAGCAGTCACGTGGGCCGCTGTGGCTGGACCTACCCATCTAACGACTGCTTGACGTCGGAGGGCCGAGGAACATTCGCCAAGTGCCTGTCTTCTTCCAACTCGGGAGGCAAAAAGAACAAAGGCAAACCGCAGAAGAAGGGGGACAGAGGTACAAAGATCAATGATACAAGGGAGGACATGGATGCTCAGCTTTTGGAGCAGCGTAGCACCAACTCTTTGGAGTTTGACTCTCCTTGTCTGAGCGGCAGTCTGCCCTCCGTTTCAGACTCCCATTGCAGCCACTTCTCAGAGTTCAGCTGCTCGGATCTGGAGAGCATGAAAACGTTGTGTTGCCATGGCTGTGGCGGAGGCAACTATCATACCCGCTTCGCCGCCGTCAGCCCCTTACCTGAGGTGGAGAATGACAGGCTGGAGACCAGCCCCGCTTCACGGGCCCCATCCCAGGTTGCCCGCTCGCCTCCCTCCTCCCCGGCTCATGCTGCAGAGCTCTCCTCCCTCCGCTTCATCGCAGAGAACATCAGCCTGGTGTGTCCCACTGAGTGGGAATCTCAGAGAAACACTTCACAGTTCCTAAAAAAAAGCAACAACAATCACCACCCAATACAACATAGCAATCAAACTCAGCACAGGAATCAATGTATGCAGACTGACGTATAAAATATCAAAATCACAAGTGTTGCATAGATTCTCCACCTTTTCAGTCGGTCAAGTAACAACCTTCAGATCAGCAGAAATCGGTTCATGAAAAAAGATGCTCTGTCATCATTGGTGGTGGGAGGTTTGAGATGAAACCACTGTGCCACCTTGGATCAGTGCCACAGTCTTGTTGTTCCTGTGAAGAGATGCTGCTCTGTTGAATTGTGGGGTGCTTCTTTAGAGGCCGTGATTGAGAACAGAGGGAGTCACTTTGACTTTGGATGCTAGAATTCCATGAAATGCTTTGGAATGTTTGATCATGCCTCATTAAGGAGCAAGAGAGTGTGGTTAGGTTTTTTTTTTTTTTTTTGCGTGCGTTTGTCTACTCATGGTGCCTTTAAAAACAGTATGTGTTCTCCGTATATCTCGCTCTCTCCTGTTTGTGTCTCAAGACCTCCCTGACAATGACACATTCCATACTGAAGAATGTGGCTTACTTTAATTACCAATTCAGAGCTAAGTTAAACCTGCTAAATGAACACATTGCAATTGCCTACCAAAGACAGCACTCAGGCTCTTTGATTTGTTGCCAGCGGACACACTGGGGCGCTTTTTTTTTTTTACAGCAATGAACAATCCATATTTTCTACACACCTGCAGTGTTGCCTGTTTTTCTGTAATATTGTTAATCCACAAGGTTCTAGACATACTGCATGCTGTTGCGATTTGTCTTCCTTGTTAATTTCCTCCACTGTTGTGTTGCCTATCAGTGCTGCTACCCAGACTTGTGTTATTTTTTATTTATTTTTTTGCTCACAGCCGTTTCACCTGACCTTATGCTCAATGGTTGCACCATTTAGGTGGCTACAAGCAGTTTGAATTGTAATTGGACCCAGAAATGTTACTGAATCAACTTTTTCATTCCATTGAGTGAAGCTACATGCCACAACCCACAACAAATTTCACTATCACCAAAACTGGTCCTGACTTAAACACATTTGTGCCAGATGGAGTTGTGGAGAGTATTGTAGTTATTTGCTTCAGTACAGATGTGTAAGTGCATATCAAATTCCAAAATAAAAAACACATTTGGTTCTCATGTTTACAGAATTGTGTCCTTCTGAAATAGTTTTGTTTTTTTAATGCCATTTTCAAAACTGAGAATGGATCCAAAGCGTCAAAATGTTCTACTCATTCAGGACACTTGACAATGTCAATTTCACATTAAAAAATGTGTTTATGTGACACACTAAAGTCATTTGAATTTCTGATTGGTTTGAGTCTTGAGTATTCTTCAGTTTAATCATCATGACAACATTGGATTGTTCTGATTGTGGCTTATACATTAGTGGAGTCATCCCAGCGCTACAATAAATGTTTTAGATATTTCAACTTAACTGTATCATCTTAAATCATGCACCACTTTGAGCTATTTGAACATTAACATTTTATTGAAATTAAGGCGCAAACATTTTCTGCTCAATCAGATGCATTTATGGTCAGCGCCAGCTTTTTTTTTAAATTCCACGTCTAAGTATTCTACATCTTAATACATGGATGGCCACAGCATTTCAGCTCATCGTGCCAGCTCTCAGAATTTTCCACTCATTTATTTAGGATTTTTATTTGGAGCATGAATGGCTTTTTGAATGGAAGTCCTGATTGTGAAGCAGGGAGAGTGTGAACCACTACGCCATCGAAGGTTACTTTAAAAAAACAAAAACAAGACAAACCAGTGTAATGGTGATTGAAGGTTTCCAGTTGTATTTTTACTAAAGAGTTCTATCAGGCCGACCTATGTCTTTCATAATACAGTACTGTGTATACAGCGATACAATTTTGTGATCTTTCCCACAGGCAAGGAAAATTCCCTGAAATGAAAGTCATCGTGCACTGAATATCACCAACTTAGATATCAGCTCATTCATGAACATTCTGATATGCCAGGACAAAGGAGTGCGAGGACCACAACCACTGGGCTACTAGTAGTACGCTACTGAGAAAATGTGGGTCATCTTGGGCCCAATTTTCTACGACACTCAAAGTCCGTCATATTGTGCCCTTTGTACATAATTGGTTAGAGTGGTAAAAAAAGTAATTCTCCATAGCAAAATTGTCTTCAAAGAAAATATATATTCCTTATATCGTCACTTGAAATATACTGTATAATCTCTGATCATTTACAGCAAAGAACAGTGTAACTGTTTACTCTAGGACACATTCTGCAGCAGTCCGCATCTTTTGGGGAGTTTTGCATAGATCCGAGTGTTGTGGTGACGCAGCAGCTCATGCGGTTCGGGCCGGGCTGGGCAGGGAGGATGCAGACAGCTCAGATGTATTTGTTGGCCAGATTCTGAACATCATTTTTGGTGAACTCTGTGCTTTCAGCAGATGACAGGTGCTCAAACAATTGGGTCACGTGGTGTCGCTCGTCCTTCTCCAGCAGCATCAGTACGACCTGAGGAAACGCATACCCATACCCTCATTTAGAATTTAAAAAAGGGACCACATGCCAATGCACTCTGGCATCCGTATGCAAAAACAATGGAACATTTATTCCAGGTCCTTGAAATCCATCTCATTGCGTCCATGTACTAACTAGACAGCATTCTGTCTTCACTTGTAGGAATTCCATGCATTAACTCACTAAAGTTAATGTCGTTCATTACAATCAAATCATTCAATGCCAAGGAAAAGTTTTCTCATTTTTTTAAGTGTTTTATCTTTTTAAGTGGGGTGGTTTGTAAGGGTCTGATGATGTCTCCCTTAAATGATGTGCTTCAACAATGGTAATGAAGCGCACTGCCAGCAGAGTTGGTTAACAATGGGGTTATTAGCTGCACAGTAGTTTAGAAGATAGCAAAACACCATTTCAGATTCAAAGTCACCTATGTTTGCCAACTGTTTACAGTGGGTAAAGGAGGACTTTACTGTCATGGCCTCGGCGGGACTCAACAACGGCTTTCAGTTGGACAATGTGAAGCATACATTCAACAAGGGAATAAACCTCTATAGAATTCACAGAGTATGTGTTATGATACTTGGCAGAAGAACGTGTTTTATAAAGGAAACAAAGTGCAACAACGACCTTGGATATATGAGGAGGATGTCAAAGTTGTCATGAATAGCCACTAATGGCTGACATGCCATTTTGGTGAGTTGACGACATTCGCAGCGCTGATTTAAAAACCACTTAATAGTTTATTATTTTGCAATCAAAAGCCATTCCTAAATGTTGTTTTTGCAGCTTTTTAGAAAGCAACCACTCTTCAGATGTTAGAAGCACAAATATTAGCGTCACTCTCACTGTTCTGCTTGCTTCCTTGTTTACAACAAAAAGCTATTTGTGGAGCAGCTGAATTTCGTGAAATTGCCTTCAACCGCTGAATACTAAATAACGGAAAGAGGTTCTTTTATGCCTGGTGAAAGAAGAGTCTATTTGATGTATAAATTGTCGAACACAATATTCTGTGGGTCTTCGAAAATCAGTCACGATGCTCACTCACCGAGAACCTGTCAGCAGTATGAAGATGATTTAGGTGTTTGTAAACTAGGTTGGGGTCCTTCTCCAGTAGATGCGAGTCCAGCACTTTCACGATGAAGCTGATGGTCTGCCCGTTGAGCTGAGTGCTCAAAAACTGCGGAAGCAGCTCTGGAGCCGTTGAAGCCAACATGTCGGCGCACGCTGCCATGTTACCACTGCTGCAGGCATTGTTTAAAGCTTGGCCAAACTCATACGCGTTGCTTGGTTGGAATTTGGTGCTCAACTCTTCTCGGAAACAACTATCAGAGTTTGCCACAGTTGACGTTTCCTGATCACCGTCCACCTGTGGAGGAGAATGAAGCATTGAAATAAAGTCTGTGTTTAGGTTAAGAAATGTTTTGTTCAAGAACCGCTTCGATGTTTAAAGTGGCACTACAACACATCTGCTCTTTATTCATTCACTGTCATTGATGACTCAGGGATGCCAAAGATGCATTGTAACTGGGAGGGATGGCAGTGAAGGCCACGCTGGGTTTCAGGAGGTCTGCGTCATTGATGTAACAATGTTGGACTTTGTTAAAAGGCCCGTCCCATCCATGAGCAAGATGACTGACTGATGACGATAAACCAGGTTGCTTGAGAAAGTCAAGGGCGCTTGAATGAAAACAATGATGTGGGCGTATTTATTTTATTTACAATCATACCTCAAAGGGGAAGTCTACCCCCAAATTTTCTTTACAATATGTTCTATGCCCCTCGACTAGTCTGAACACAACATTCTGATTACGATTGTGTTTGTGGAATATGAATTAAGCAGCAAAATTGGTCTGTTTTTCGATATTTCAGGGGGCGGCCATTTTGCCACTTTCTGATATGAGATCACAGTTGCTCGGGGCTTAAGTAATCAACAATCACAGCTCGTCGGCTTTCTGAAGCTGAGCCATGATTGGTCGTTACGTTTCCTCCATTGAAAAAGAGTCTTTTTCAAAAATCTAATTCAGATGTTTTTCCTTTTGTCTACTATTGTTTTTTTGTTTTTTAACGAAAAAAAACAACAATCAGGAAAAGCTGTCTTTGTTGCCACTGTTGGAGCCACTATCTCTGAAGCGAGTTGTATTTTTGTGTGAGTCACTTATTTTTGTCTGTGCAATAAAATATTTTTTTATAATTGAGATAAATAAATGCAGATCTTGTAGTTCAGTTCTGTTGTTGAAGTCGACCTTAGTATGGTCCGTTTTGTTTCGTATGGCCCTCACTGGCCACGTATGGCTACTGCATTTAGAGGTGTGCTCTCTTTGATGGGGTCAAGGGTGAAAAGCAAGATGGCTACCTTACAGTCAGGTGTGTGGACAATGAGTTCGGCATGCAAGCTGGCCTCTCGGTTAGATAAGGTTTTTCAAAGCATTATTTGAAAGCAAGCTTGACAGATCCGTATAGTTTATTAATCATCAACTCAACTCCTTATCCAACATCCACAACTTGACTCCTGACCTCCTCGCCTGAACAAACAAATGGTGAGTGAATGCATTGAAGCCTTGCTGTGACCTGTAGATGCCCTTTGACTTATGGACAGCGAAATTTGGGAAAAAAATGACATAAACAAATTAAGAACCATGATGATATGGGCAATTTGGATATGTGAAGCATTTACTGGATTGGAACTTGTGGAAACTTAACAATACTTTAAAACTGAAAGGTTTGTTGGAAGTACATTGAACAATGGAAATAATTCAGAAATTTACAAAGTAGGCGGCCGCTGTGAGAATTGTGATTGGAAAAAGTGTGGGTGTACGCGGGACTTTGACTGCACACCCAACAGTTTCCTATTTGCTACTGCAGGGACATATCGAATTTTGGGGCGTTTACAGCCAACAGTATCTTAAAGCTATTCTGATGTCTCAGTGCATTAAAAAAAAGTCACAACTATCATAATGAGTTTTGAAGAGAGCCAATGATGGTTAAATAGTGTGATAAGCACAAGACAAATCCTTGCGCTCATCCATCCTGTGATGGTTTGCTGAACGAAACACGTATCTCATCTCACGAGAGTAGATTTTCCACAAAAATAAAAAAATGGGCGTAACTAGAAACGTTTGTAAAAAGGGGTCGTTCGTAATTCCTGGTTCCACTGTATTCAAAATGCGTACCTCTGTAATGGGGATGACCTTCCGGGATTTAGCTGGTGATTCGGCAATGAGACTTTGCTTGAGTAGATTTGTGACTTCCTCCAACTCCTTCTCTGCCTCCTGCACATTGGGATCCTGTTGCAGCACCTCCTGGAGGTCTGTACTGCATGCCAGGTAGTCCTGGCACAAGGAAAAACAAACCATATGGATGCTCACTCACAAAGGACGGGGGCAAAATAGAGCATTAAATCTAAAGATAAGCAAATATCAGTCAATTCTATACTAATATGTGAACTCTTTCTGCTGCAGATGAGTTCCAAAAGGAAGTCATTACCTGAAGCAAAACATCTATTGGATGAACAGAAACTGAACCTGCATGACTTTCATCATATGGGCCCGCTGTCCTCACCTTAAGCCCTTTATTGGCCATCGCTCGTCTGTAGAAAGCCTTCTTATTGCTTGGCTCCAGTTTGAGTGCTGCGTCACAGTCTTGCTTGGCCTCAGCAAATCTCTCAAGCTTCAAGTAGCACAGGGCTCTGCCAGTAGAAAGGCACGCACACACACACACACACACACACACACACACACACACACACACACACACACACACACACACACACACACACACTCCACTTAGGACATTTCTGTCTCTCATCAGCATCTCATCTGATTATGACTCACTCTGAAAGTAAAAACTTAAACACGACACAAAAGGAAAGGGCCAGAATCCAATTTGGTGATATTTTATGTCAACAAGGGCATGTAAACTGGTGTAACAGGTTTATAATAGTTTTGGAATGTTCAATCATTCATTTTGAGTTTTGTTTCGGTTTTAATTAGTTTACTGAGTGGGTTTGTTAGTTCGTATTAGTTTTAGTTTTTCCTCAAATGCTTAGTCTTAGTTTAGTTTTTATTTGTTTTAATGTTATTGATCCATCCATTATCTGATCCTCGTGAAGGTCGCGGGTGTGCTGGAGCCTATCCCAGCTGTCTTCGGGCAGTTGGCGGGGTACACCCTGAACTGGTTGCCTGCCAATTGCAGAGCACACATTGACAAACAACCATTTGCACACACAACCACGTCTCAGGATAATTCAGTGTTGCATTAACCTGCCATGCACG